GTAGCTTAGGCTATTTCTACCCTCCTTACCCTCCTTCCTTGTACTATCATCCCGTTCTCTAGAATCCCATCGATGATTGATTGATAAAGATTAAGCCACCCAAAAGGTGGCACGGGCGTGAATAGCCCGTAAGTGGTAGCCCTTTTGAGCCATTACCAGTATCAATAGATGATACTGGAGATCTGTGGAGGTGCGACTGCACCCTGCGTGACGGGAGATGTCTCCAAAATCCCATCAAGAGAGCGGGATGATGCCTGTTGCATATCGCATTGATACGAACAAATCCCTTAAAGCAAAATCGGACGGATTAAAGATCATAACGGCTCTCAAAATTGACGTGATGTCCCAGTTTCGACCTGCCATCATGGAGGAAATCCTTTGGGGGGTAATAAATTCAAAGTCACTACATAATTAGTGCTATTGTCTCTCTACTGTTTGAGTGTACCTTAGATTTTCGTTTACAGAAAACTCCATTTTTTCAGAGCGTTTCAAAGAAAGAGTTCTGCATATACATTTTATATTTTAAACTAACAATTTATAATGCAATAAAGTTAACCATCATATTCTGTTTGGGACAAAGGTTCATTTGCCAGTTTACATGTCGACTATTACTGGAACGGTAATATGCTTTCATATTATTACAAATGTCTAGATAATTATCCAGGTGGTTTGAGAGAGGGGGAGGAGGGGGCTTGGTCATGGTAATGGATTTGCTCTGAGAACTGGCTGGTAGTTCCTCGGTTAGGTTAGGCTGGGACAATTTAGTACATCAGTTTAGTGACGTTGAGATCCAGGACCAAAGATGACATTCACTTCAAATACCTACCAGCTACGGGGCTTCTAGATAGACTCGAGTGCGTCCTATTAAGGTAATAACTGGTATTAGTAAGACAATTGTCCTGCTAGACAAATAACCTGTCCACATAATCTTGTCCAGCATAAAATTAGAGATAATAATGTTTCATTTAAGCAGAACAAATTTTGGTACTGAACACAGGCGTAATGTATTTAGTCTTTGTTAGGGTATGTCTCCCCTCTCCTCTCTCTCTCTCGACCCTCGCCTCCCCTCACCCGCTGCCGTTGTCTAAACCACTCTCCCCTCTTGTGACTATTGAGTGGTATCGAGGGAGTATCGACCTTGGTTTACTCGGTAACTCGTTTAACCACTCATGTTTCTCCCTCACACACACACATTGTCCTTCCCATCCGCCCTTCCATGACCTATCTACCTTCTCTCACCCCTCACCACCTTTTCCTGTCCCATCTTACAGGTACAGTAAATATTTATTTACATGTATATATATTTATTGCCTATATATATATTTAAAGTACTGTAATACATATTTTATTTTTATTTTTTTTCATATTTCATATTTATTTTGTAATACAAATTTATTACAGGTACAGTAAATACAGGTAAATATATCCCTTGACCTGTCACATTCTGTAATTTCACATTTAACCTGATTATTAACCAAGGCCTATCTGTGTGTCACTTCCCCCCCCCTTCTCTTGTAATTCCTGTATTTGCAGTTGTTTTCCTGTGCGGTTGTGTGGAGTTTCTTGTTAATCGTTGTTGTTCTAGATTCGCTACCTGGAACAGAAAGTTCCAAGTAGCACGGGCTATGGCGAGCCCATAACCCCTTGTTAATCCATTGGTACAGTCTTGTTGCCCAGTCTTCATTTTTGTGTTCAAACTTCTCCCATACAAGGATCAGATCTAAGCAGGTAGGTTTTCATACCCTGTTGTTGCGCCATTAATAGTACAGTAATAGTTTTGTGCGCACAGCGCGAGTGTGGGTAGATACAGGTTGGCTGGTTAAACAGACATATTGGTGGTGGTTGTTTCAGATTTAGCTACTCAGAACGAAGTGTCCATGTAGCACGGGCTATGGTGAGCCCGTAGGACATATTGGTGGTTGAAGTGGGGGAGGAGGTTGAATGTGGAGAACAGTAGGCGAGGTGGAGAGAGATTATACCTTGTACGGCTTCCTGATCAGGTAACACCTACCAGCCAGACCCAGCCATTCTCTCCATTATTCCAGAATCTCTCGTGTCCACCTTCTTCCCTACCCTCCCCCTTTCTCTCTCTAAACACACGGCGCCCCTTTCCTCTCCTCTCTCAACATGCGTCCAGGTAGAGAGCCAAATTAAAAACTGTATTGTTAAGATTTAGTAGGTAAGGACGGGATGTGGTCTTGATTAGGGAGTACATTGACATCGGCGCCGTAGATAGTAATATTGGACACCTCTTGATTGTAATTGGACACCTCTTAACGGACAGTCTTAAACGCAGGCTGAAGTTCAAGCTGTACTAACAGGCTTAAAGGAAGTGGTTAAGAGTAGAAAATATGCCCGCTGTTTATTGACAATAGAGGAGAATTGGAGTTGTTTAATAGATGACCAGTATACCACCATATTGTGGTCGAGTGCAGAGAAAACATGAAGCGTATAACAATGGCTGTAAGGTAAGATTTATATGTGGATCCCTTCACATGTGGATATTGTTAAATGAAGCTGTTGCTGAAATAGTGGAGAGCGCCACGGAGAAATTTGTGTCCATGTAATGTCAAATGACTGTGAGACACTGAGACAAGGACTCTATTGATCCAAGAAAATATACAGAAAAGTAGAGATCTTTTTGCAGTTGGCCAGCAATAACGCGTCACAAGTCCCCGTGGCGTAATGGTAAGACATAGAAAATTGTTCACACTCTTTGCGTCAAGAATGTAACACTACAATTTGTATTTTTAATATACTGCGACTACTGTTGATGTAAATGGAGTCAGGAGTCCATTTAAATGCTTATTCACACATGAACTGTTTCGCGGCTGGCATGGCACTGCGCCGCTGCATTGATATGACTTCTGTATGAATTTTGAACGTGGAACATCTCCCGTCATGCAGGGTGCAGTCGCACCTCCGCAGATCTCCAGTATCAGCTAATGATACTGGTAATGGCTCCAAAGGGCCACCACTTACGGGCTATTCATGCCCGTGCCACCTTGTGGGTGGCTTAATCTTCATCAATCAATCATGAACGTGGGGTCAAACCCATGTTCTTGGTTGTGGTATGATGAACGGAACACGGCCAACCATTCTTAAATTGGTTCGTTTGATCGTCATAAATCACTTACTGAGCAACTTTATAAATATTAAACTACGTAGAGTTGATCTCAAAATTGTACAAAATACGATGAAAGTTTGTCGTAAGCTTGAAATGACATAAAATTGTCGTGGTTCCTCGTTCGCGTTCGTTCATTCTGACCATTTTGAAGAAATTGTCAGGATCAACATCCCTCCAAATTGTTCAGTATTAAAAGTTTCAAAGAGAACCGCCCTATCATATGCCAGGTTTGCAGTGTTAGCACTGTGACCTTCAACCGTTGCTGATATGAGAAATGTCTTGGCTCTGGAATGGCTTTTGTTGCCTGGTGTTGCACGTTCTCCAGAGCAGCTGTGTCTTTCTGAAGATGAAGTTTCCAAAAGTCATGTATATTGTGTGAATAATCGGCAAATCACAAGTTGAAATTGGCTAACAAAGTATGTACTGTATATAAAATAGTATTAGTAAATAAAAAAATAACAGTAAGACTTGATTAGCAATTGGTAACAAGTCTTCCTCTGACATGATGATAGTTTTTAGTTTAGTTCATGTAACGTACAATTATGTTACGTTGCTGAGTAGATTAGATATAGTGTTTAGTGGGTTTTCATATTTATTTAGTAGTCCTGGATACAGCAGTGTCGTAGACGTTCAGATGGAGCTTGGAGCAGAGCAGAGAGTTGAGTGTGGCCGGAGTCGCAGAGCTCTATGTGGGAGAGCGTTGTAGCTCCATGCAGTCCTGGGACCAGATTCACGAAGCAGTTACTCAAGTACTTACGAATGTGTACATCTTTCCTCAATCTTTGACGGCTTTGGTTACATTTATTAAACAGTTTACAAGCATGAAACTTACCAATCAACTGTTGTTGTTATAAATAGCCTCCTGGTGCTTAGGAGCTCATTAACTGTTTAATAATTGTAAGCAAAGCCGCCAAAGATTGAGAAAAGATGTACAGGTTCGTAAGTGTTTGCGTAACTTCTTCGTGAATCTAACCCCTGGTCTGCTGTCTGTAATGTGTCGAAGCTGTAGTGTCTTTCGTTGTTGTAGATTCAGCTACTCGGAACAAGTTCCAAGTAGCACGGGCTATGGTGAGCCCGTAGTGAACTTACCTGGCACAGGAGCGGTGCCTTTGGCTATTCACTTCAAGCTTGCTTATATTTGGTGACTACTCCTCACCTTCCTCCACTAGGATAGGATGATGGAAGAACTGTTACGTGTAATTAGGGATGAGATTATAGCTTCTGCAATTAGTGCTAATTAGTTACGCCATTAAGATGATGAGATAATGGAGTGAGTATAAGGTTTACTCGCTATGTTCATTTATTATGCACCCCATACCCATTTTGTAGGGGGGGTAGTGGAAAGGGTTACAGAGGCACATAATGGGCTCAGGGACTGAACCCCACAATTCATTTAGCTAAGTAAGTTACAATCTTGATGAGCTAGTTACAAAATTCAATATACTGTACGTTGTCACATCAACAATCGGTTCGAGAGCGGCCAAAAGTACAGTTTCTAAATTAAGCAACTGACATGTGGAGAACTAGTGTCATAATTTTTTTTTCTTGCCATGTACCTGTTCTCATTTTTATAAATTTTGCTAGTATTTACCTACTTAAAATTTTGTTAGATTAAGGACCTGCCCGAAACGCAACACGTACTAGTGACTTTACAAGAATGTAATCACTGTTATGTATCCTCACAATCCCAATGCCCCTTCTTGTATATATATATATATATATATATATATATATATAAATAAATAAATAAATTTGTTTGTCCTGCATACCGTCCCCCATCCAGTGGGCAGCGGTGGATAGGTGTGTATTTTGTAAGTGTTAATCTGTTGCTCACCAGTCAATCTATGAAACACTGAGAACCATTTTATTTCAGGACCATGCCAAGTGATGCACTGGATGACATAGAACTAAGACACGTACAATTGTCCGTCTCCAATTCACGCTCGTTGAGTGAAGACGGCTCAACGGGCTCGAAGGAGACCATAGAGACCCAGCATGGCCCCATCACTGTGGCAGTGTCTGGGGATACCTCCAAGCCTGTCATCCTCACCTACCATGATCTGGGCCTCAACCATGTTACTAACTTCCAGGTACGGGTGCTTTTTATATTTATCTCCCTATCTCCCTTCCTTAATTTGCCTCATAGATGCATTCACTACATTTGAGTTTTGTTGTAACTTTGTTCTTGAGGTCTGGAGTTTTTACGGTCTTCCTTCACAATATATTGAAGCTGTGTTTAAGTTAAGCTACACTTTTTTTAATTAACTCGACAGTCAATCATTGTTGGACAAAACTGATGTGCTATTCACCTAATCTAATGAGAAGGCAATGTTGCAGGCCCTTGATAGAATGGAAGTTTTGATAGAGAAATTTGGCACTAAATCTTGATTATTCATTTTCCATTTACAGTATTATAAAAGCTTTTTAAAATTGTCGTATTTATGAATTTGTAGAAAAAACTCGGATCAGTTTCCTCAGCCATTCTTCCATCACGCCAGTTTGTCCCATGATATATTCAGATACGTACAGTATGACATTTAAAACAATGTGCAATATACAAATCTCAGTAGAACAACTTTTCTAAGCAGTATTATACCCTCTAGATTTTGTACATTCAGATAAATTATGATTGGTGGTTTGGTGATGTTTTCCTTGTTGTGCATCTAACTAATGACCATGTTAATATTGGGTTAAGGCTTAGTTGTCTTCAGCCTCAATCAGTTTCTCCCTTTCTCCCTCCATCAGCATTGAAAGTGATCAATGCACTTAGAGCAGTTGGATTTTTTTAATCTTAAAAATCATGTAGATTATTAGGGCTTCTGTAAAAATAGAATACATGTATTATACACGTACAGTACTAGGAAATTGGTTTTAATATTCAAATTTCAAAACTTTAATTTGCACAGTGGGGATCTGCTGGTTAATAGGTTGACATAATATATATAAAATTAACAAATCGATGATTTTGGAAGTCATTTATTTAAATCTGCAGCCAAATAAGAATATTGAATACTGTGTTTTCATAATAAAAGTTGGAAAAATTATATTCTGTACTTTAATTGTTTTGTAAACAGATTTGAAGGAATAAATGAAGAGGGGCAGAGAGTACCAAATAAGTACCACGTTCAAATGACAATTTTGTAATTTTCAGGTTATAACTTTTACTTTTTTTTCCTCCAGGCATTTTTCTTGTACCCAGAGATGAGGAATATTCTTAGCAATTTCTGCATTGTTCATGTTAATGCCCCAGGTCAAGAGGAGGGAGCTCCAACACTTCCAGAAGGGTGAGCGGCAAAACATGCTTGCAATTATACTAATACATACGTTAGGAATTAAGTATTTATCATGCTTATCATGTATCCCAGTTTTATTAAACGTTTCTGACCAGCCAGAAGCACTTCCTTGCCTAATTTTTTTGTTTGCGGTCAAAACTGACGAACTGAAACTATTGCAAGTCTTGACTGTGTTATGCAACCAAAGTAACCTATTTGGGTTACATTCCTGGACCATGTTCCTATTTTAGGTCAGGTATAGATGTGTGGGCTCAAGCCTGACTGCATCCAAATTTCAATGTTAAACATTTTAATGTTTAGGCATATTTACACTAGATAATTCTAGCTTTTCTTTACAATTGGTTTATTCTCGGGGCCAAATAAAATGTTTAGCCATACAGTTTTCTGCCCATTTTGTAATTCTGAAATTCCAGTTTGTAATTTTGAGGTTCCATTTAAATCACTCGCCATTTCCCCAAGTAATTCTAAAGTGTACATTTTCACCCTGGCTATTCACCCTATTGTTCTCTCACTCTTAACCTCTATAATATAAGAGGTCAGTGATCCCTTACATGTTCTTTAGTTAATGTTGGCTTTATTAATAAAATAAAATATCACATTTATTGCTTCCTCTAGTCCTTGTATGTTGCCTTACATGTTGTACAATTGATATTCAGTACAATATTAGTATCTTAAATTTGTATACCAATATTTTTTAGGACTACTTTTGATCAAATTTATATGGAATCTGATTGTAGGATAGATTTTGATTTCCAAATTAAATCTGTTATGAGCACTACCAAAGCAGCAGCATTTAAGCTTTGAGATCTTGAACTCTTGCAAGGCGATAAGTCACAATAACATGGCTGAAGTATGTTGACCAATCCACACTAGAAAATGATGGGACGACGACGTTTCAGTCCGTCCTGGACCATTCTCAAGTCGATTGCGAGACTTGAGAATGGTCCAGGACGGACCGAAACGTCGTCGTCCCTTCATTTTCTTGTGTGTGGATTGGTCAACAATCTTGAACTCTTTCCATGACATTGCTTTAGTGGGCATAATTGGGACAATCCTTCCACTACTGTGTGTGGGGTACTTCCCAGTATATAGCATGTGAAGCATTTGTATAATATTACAGTACTGTAATGTTATAATCATTATTTAAATATGAGACTCTTTTTGTTTCCCAAATATTAAAAGAAAATTGCTGTAAAGATTTACTTTTTTTCATAAGGTATTTCTTGTACATTATTGAAAGAGTTTCACCGGTTAATTTTAGTTTCATGATTTTGTAAAGCCTCCTTTTATTGCAGATATGTGTATCCAACGATGGAAGAACTCTCGGAAACTGTTACATGTGTCAAGAATCACTTCCATCTTCGCAGTTTCATAGGATTCGGTGTGGGTCTAGGGGCTAATATCCTAGCACGATATGCCACTAAGTACCCTTGTGATGTAAGCTCTTTATGTACAATGTATTTAAAAATTTGCTCGAGTAATATTGACTTTCTTTTTTTTTTTTTTCTTTTTTTTTTAAGATAAAGACTTTGGTGTTAAACACTTGATAAATGGTGATAGTCTCTCTTTGAATTAGCAATTCAATTCTTTTTTTCCAATTCTAGTAATTTTAAAATTGGATAAATTTGGATAAATTTTTTGTTTAAATAGTGTATTTGGCCTTACATTTGTATACATGCACACGTCTCATTGTATAGTTTTACGTGTTGACAATTTTGGTTCTCTGGGTACTGGTCCAAGAGCCTCCTTGGATACTGTTTCTGTAGTTCCTACCAGCTAGCATCGCTATTTGGGATGGAAAAGAAGCCGACTAAACACTGCTGGTGATCTTGGCAGGGAATTGAATAATTAGTGTCCATGCACATTTCATGTTTATGGCATAAATGAAGTCAAGAAAATAATTAAAGCCAATTTGATTAGTGTTAGGTATGAGCAAGCTTCATCTCGCTTTACCAATTGTCTGTACAGTAGTAACATTTTACTTATTAGTGGATGTGTACATAACTGCATTTTTATTGGCCCCTCCCTTTTTTAAACATTTTCGGAAGATTATAACTGTACTGTAACTGTGGATTTAAACAGGTGGATGCTCTGGTCCTAGTTAATTGCTCATCCACTCAAGCTGGATGGATTGAATGGGGTTACCAGAAACTTAACATCCGCCACTTACGTGCTGGCACTATGACGACGGGCACAGTTGACTACCTCCTCTGGCATCACTTTGGTAAGTTGTACAATACAGTATATATATATATATATATATATAGTTAAAAATTATAAAGTTGCAATACTGTGTATACAGTATTGTATATACAGTATGTACTCTGTAATATAAATGGAAAATTGAACCATTGAGATGTATGACAGCAGTGCTTAGTAAAGAATGACACGAGCATAGCTAAATTAGTAATTACCTAGGTGTAATTACCCATGTGTAGCTACAGGATGAGATCTATCCTCGTTGTGTCCCGTCTTCCCCGTATTGTTATATAATGCTTTGAGACCGACTCTTTGGCCGCCACCACCACCTCACTTGGTCTAACCGCTTACCACTTTGCAAAAGTGAATATTCTAATGTTTTTCAGCAGCATTGTTTTCTTAGTTTGAACTTGTGTCCTCTTGTTCTTTAATTTGTAGTTTTAAGTCTTTTAGCAGTTTTGCAGATTCCTGTTACTATTTTATATGTAGTGATCATATTGCCTTATTTTCTTCTATCTTCTAGCTTTGGTACATTTAATGCCTCTGAGCTTTCTTCGTAGCTCGGGCTTTTCAGTTCCAGAAGCTGTCTAGTTGCATATCTATGCACCTTTTCAAGTTTAATGATGTGCCTCTTGAGATGGGTGCCATACAAATGCTGCATATTCGTACTCTGGTCTGAAAAAGGCCATTAACAATTCCTTTAATATTTCATCATTCATGTATTTAAGAGATAGGGAAGTTGCCAAGTATAGCATACTCCTCGCACAATGTTCTTTGTGGCCCTTGGGTGAAAGTTTTTATCCAGAACCACCTCTATATCTCTTCTTTTCTGTATTGAAAATCTTTTAAACTTTCTCACAATTTGTAGGTTATGGGGCCTATTTTCTCTTCCACATTCCATAACATGACATTTATTCAAATTACAGTAAATGCAATTTGCCAAGTGTTGTTCCATACTTATTTTATACAGGCCTTTTTGAAGGGCATGGCAATTGTCCAAGTTTCTTATCTTCCCTAGTAGCTTGGCATCATGAGCAAACGTGTTCATACAACTGTGTTCCTTCTGGTAGATTGTTTATATATAGACAATGCTTCACTGGTAACACTTTCCGTGTCCGATACACTACCTCCAATTACCACCCTCATTTTTGTCGGAAAATTTTTCATCTTGTCGGAAGTCTTCTTGTTACTGCTACAACATGTTGTTTTCCAGACCATCCTCTTATGTGAGAGTCTGTCGAAAGCCTCTTTTAGGTCCAGATAAGTGTAGTCAACCCAACCATCTTTCCTGTAAAATCTGACCTTGGAAACTAAGTAGATTTGTCACGCAGGATCTTCCCGATTTGAAAACAATACTGTCTGTTACTATATAATTTGTGTGTTTTAATACAGGTATACAGTATACTTAAGTGGGTCTTTTCTGCTATCATCTTTGTAGATTAGAATTATGTTAGCCTTTTTCCCATATATCTACTATGATTCCTGTACATAAAGATGCTTGAAAATCAATTAAAATGGAATGCTTGGCTAGGAAGTTCATTCTCTCGTAACCCAAGGTGGACGTGGACCAACTGCTTTGCTCTTGCTTAGTTTCTTGAGCATTATGTAAAGTTTGACCTGCTCTTAAAGACTTTCATTTGCACTTGAAACATTATTTTTGAGCTATACTACTGACTTGATTCTTTAGTCAAGAACAGCCACAAAAAAAAAAAAATGGAAGATTATTGTAAATACGGGATTCCCCCCCCCCTCCCCCCAGCTGCAGAGTAGAGCTAGAAGGTAAGGGGGGGGGGAGGGGAGAGACCCACAGGGTGAGAACTGTTCCCAGAGGACATAGCCATGCACTCTGACCCCTGCCTGAAAGAAAGCTCACCTGAAAGATGGTTGCACATGCACCCAGCCCATTCTTGCGAGCATTCTCAACATCAACAAATTGTCGTACACAAGCAATTGACAAGAAGGTAACTCTCCTTCAGAAGGAGTTTCTTCTTCAGAATGCTATAAAGAAGGCAACAGAAAATTGTCTGTCTTGCTTAATTTAGAAACTGTACTTGTGGTCGATCTCAAACCCATTGTTGATGTGACGACTTGTATTGAATTTTGTAACTAGCTCAAGATTATAACTTGCTTAGCTAAATGAATTGTGGGGTTCAGTCCCTGAGCCCATTATGTGCCTCTGTAACTCTTTCCATTACTGCCCACAAGATGGGTATGGGGTGCATAATAAATGAACTAAACTAAACTTGCTGGCAAATGGAGAGGTTATGTTTAACTGGTGTCCAAAATTTGGACAGACAATAAGGAACAATTATATTTACCATGCAATAGCAGGGATGAAGAAAAAGTGTACATGGTTTAAACCATAGCAACAAGAATCTGCCCCAAGCTCCTTGCTTGATACTGTATTCTTCTCTTGTTCATGGGGCCTCGTAGCCTGGTGGATAGCGCGCAGGACTCGTAATTCTGTGGCGCGGGTTCGATTCCCACACGAGGCAGAAACAAATGGGCAAAGTTTCTTTCACCCTGAATGCCCCTGTTACCTAGCAGTAAATAGGTACCTGGGAGTTAGTCAGCTGTCACGGGCTGCTTCCTGGGGGTGGAGGCCTGGTCTAGGACCGGGCCGCGGGGACACTAAAGCCCCGAAATCATCTCAAGATAACCTCAAGATGGGTACCCTCTGGGTTGCACTAGTGCCATTTTAAAATTAACCAAACACTTGCATTAATATAGTCCTTGCTTAAGAATTTCCATTAATGTCCATTTTATACAAATGATAATCCTTTGCAATAATTTTTTTTCTCCCTCCTTTCTATTCAGAGGGTCAATGTGGCCAAAATACTTTTTTTTTTTTTTTTTTTTTTTTTTTTTTTTTTTTTTTTTTTTTTTTTTTGCCTGTCTAGGAAGCAAATTGTGAAGGAAAAATTCCAAAACCATTGTGTTCCCATGACATGTTATAAACAGGATGATTTTTATTGTTTCATGCTAATAAAAATGTTGCTGTAATTTTGTTTTAGGCAAGAGAGAGGAATGCAACCAGGACCTGGTAACTGTTTACCGGCAGCACTTTGAAAAGGCACTTAATGCCACCAACCTTGGCCTTCTTGTCGACTCCTACATTAGACGCACCGATCTTGGTATTGTACGAGAGCTTGACCCCAACAAAAAGAAGGTAAGGAAAAACTGAAGAGCATTAGTATCAGTTTACTGGTCTTAAAAATTATTTGACATAATAAGAATTAATATGATGGCATATAGACTGGTATCAAAGGGAATATTGTTGTTCAGTGTAAGGATAGTCCTAGGAGAAAATATTTAATTTATTCATTTCACACCCTTCTCTAATATCTTAGTTCATGATCATAATAAGTGAATGTTTGAATATAGGATATATATATATATTCAGTACTGTACTGTATATAAATATATGGAAAGCTTACCTTACACGAGTGATTGGTATAACAGAAGTGCACTGAAATTCTTATTGTGTCTTTCAATTCCTTTTATATTAATACACAGTAGGACTGTTTTTATTTAAAGTTAAAATCCTGAAAAGGACGGTATTTGTCTGAAGGCTGCAGCTTAAGCTGTTTTTGCTTTTTCTTGTACTGTATAACTAAAAGAAGCTTTTTCCAGGATGTTCGCATGATCCGGTGCCAGGTGCTGAATATTACTGCCAACCATTCTCCTCATATTGAGGACACAGTCACCTTCAATGGTAGACTTGATCCTACGCTGTCCACATGGATGAAGGCAAGTTTGCTTATAAGGCTTGGTGTTTACATTAATATTTTTTAACAACTCCATTCATATAATTTTGGGTATAGTACTTTTCCCGTGGAGGGGCGGGTGGGATGGAGACTCCATACACAGCTTCAAATGTAGGTGACAGCCCAATATTCTTGGGAAATTGTACTCTGGTTGACTGAAGGTTGAGAGATTGGTCCAAGAACTTGGGGAGCCTGCTTGAGACGCTATGCATGTTAGAGGCAAACCCATTGGACATTTTAATAATTACAATAATTTATTTACGAGGTAACAACACTCAACCTTGGCAGTCACAATGTGAGGTACAGTATGCTAGTAAAGGCAATGTATGCACAGAATCTATGAAGCTAGATACTGTATTCTTAACTCTGCCAATTCATCAATCGGATATTGCAGCTTATAAAAAGGGATAAGAACAAGATATTGAGATTGTTTGAATGAAGATTAACTTGTGATGGCGTTAGTTTAGTCATATCGGTTCCATTATCATAGTTTGACGTATAAATTGTGGTATATAAAAATGTATGTTGCCAAACTAAGTTATTTTCAATGTTTTCTGGAAATATCATGCCTCTGCTACAGTCTCATTAATAAAGGGATTATAAATTTTGTCCAACTAGATGTGTCATGGGTCTCAAAGAACCATAATAAGACTCCATAACGTTTTCCAGCGGTCAGAAGTTATCACAAAAATGCATTTTCTGATGGCCATCTGGACTTTGGCCAATATCCAATTTCTCAATAATATCCCAGATTACCAACAACTCTCAAATTTCTTTGAAAGTCTGTGCATTTGAAAATAAGTGGTTTGCTTTTAGGGGCAAAACCTAAATAAGTTTTAGGTTAGTTTTAGTTTTAGGTTAAGTTTAAAAAAGTCAACTGGAGTCCACATGTTTCGGCACTGATACTCTGTAGTTGATCGAAATACAGCATTTGTCGTCATTCTTCCAAAAAACCTAAATCTATAAGTGCCCAGATAATTTTTGTTGTTATTTTGCCAACCTCCTGTAATTAATTTAATATACAGTATATTGTATACAAGTAATAATTATATCTTGCCTAACCATTGTTTGCCACAAATACCTAAGCCTACATAATAGCTGCATGTAATTTAGTATAAAGACTTGACTTGTTCTAAAGTATAAAATGGAAATCTTTCTCATATGAAACGGGTCTCCAGCCCTGTACACTGTGAAATACAGTGCCAGTACTGTACAGTATAGGCCTAATGAAAATGTGTTTAAAATGCAGACCTTCACATTTCAAAATGGTTTAAGGTTCAGCTGAAATAAATCATTTTATCTCTTCAGATCCAGGATTGTGGATTAGTCATAGACGAAGCTCCAGGCAAGGTAGTTGAAGCCTTCCGTCTCTTCCTCCAAGGGCAGGGCTATGGTAAGTCAAACGAGGCTATTGTGTACATAACATATGGCATCATGTATTTTGTTATTGTGGATCATGGAGACATTAATTTTTTTTTATTCAAAGGGAGAAATGTTTTGGCTTAAAAGGAACTATGCAAGCCGGAAAAAAAAAGACTTTAAATGGTATAAATCGGTTATTCTACAAATTGTGTATCAAGGCTAAGCTTGACATGTTCTATGTTTACCTGTTGTTGACTACTGTTCCTAGTGGCTGTTGTACACTACAACACTACATAGCAAATGTTATATTTATGTAAAACTTAAATTTTAATGTTTTGTAAGAAACACAAACTTGAGTAGACTACATTAGTCGAGTAATTGTTGGTACAGTATTTAAAACTAAATGACGAACGCAAACTTGAGCACGTACTTGTCAGCTCAGCCTGACTATCCAACCTCAAATCTTAATCACTAATGTACTGGATTTAAATTGTTTTAGATTTCAAAATGTTGTGGGTGGGTGGGAGGGGGGGGGGGCAGTGTCTTGGTGCTCGGATGAAAGATAGTTTTAAAAGGCTCATGGCACATCCTGTTGCCCATTTTATTATTTTCCGGTAGTTATGTTTTTAGAATTGGTTACACCAGTGTCTTATTAACATTAAGCTATTCAAAGATGCTATGTACATAAAGGTCAGAGAAGAAAACATTTTTATATTACTAAAACTTAAAGTACTAATTTTGTTTAACTAAAACTGAGGTGGTAGGTCTCTGCATGAAATTAATGGTTAGTGACTGTTGAGTAAGGCTAAATTAACAGTTGAATTAACAATTGCTCAACAGTTGTTGAACCAGTAAATTTATTAACAAACATTGGGAGCATCTACTGCAATAGTTGCATATACTTGAAGGTAGCTTAGATTATTTGAATCCGTCTACATGAAGTTGTTCCCTCTGGGAAAGGAGGTTTCTGAAGAAAAGAAGCATTGGATGCTAGAGTTAATGAGGATGGTCTTGCAGTATCTGATGAATGATGTTAGTCTGTACCATACAGTGGTCTCGTGCCAATTTATAAGAGTCTGTCTTGTTTTGCATGGTTTGCACACCAGATGGGGATACCCAGGTATGCTGATCATGGGGTCATGAGTATGGTTGGGTTCTTTCTTGCCTCCAGTTTAGAATCCCAGGTACGAATCCTGGGAAGGACAGAAATACTTGGGCATGTTTTCTTTCACCTGATGCCTGTTTATCTAGCACAGTAAATAGGTACTGTACCCAAAAGTTGGCCAGCTGTTGACCAACAGTTGACCCACCCATCCTAAGGAAGGTCAGTAGTTCGAACTTGGTGGTGATCCTTGATACAAGCCCATCATATATTACATACCCAGGATGCCTGTACCCCGATAAAATGAATTAAATATACAGATGTGAAAACAATAGTGCAATTAAAAAAAGTTCACCTTTACTGCAGATTTGTTACTTTGCAGTAAAGGTTTGTTTGTGTGTCAGTGTTAGCCCCCCCCCCCCTTTACCCTACCCCATATGGCCAAAAGTGTCTTATTACTACTGAAGACTTGGCATATACAGTGCCAGTCTAAAAAATATACTTGGTTATTACAAAGAATTTTATTGTTTAAAGTTTATTACAAAAAAGTTCGGTAGAATACTTATGTTCACCTATATAAGTTCACCTTTACTGCAGATTTGTTACTTTGCAGTAAAGGTTTGTTTGTGTGTCAGTGTTAGCCCCCCCCCCCCTTTACCCTACCCCATATGGCCAAAAGTGTCTTATTACTACTGAAGACTTGGCATATACAGTGCCAGTCTAAAAAATATACTTGGTTATTACAAAGAATTTTATTGTTTAAAGTTTATTACAAAAAAGTTCGGTAGAATACTTATGTTGTGACAAACTGTAATGTACTGTGATTTTAAGCTCCGAGAAACTGAATGCAGCAAGAGCTCGCAACATTTACATTTCTCAATATGTGAAGGCTTGTATATGATGATGATGGCTACAGACTGTAACTGTATCAACTGCAGTCAGCAACAGGCTTGGAGGGTTTCAGTGGCTTTGTCACTTCTTTCCACCCCTGTTCATTATGTTCACAAACTAGAAAATGTATTTTTGAATTTTAGTTTTCTCAAGTCTAAACTAGTACCATTATCACTCCTCTGCCAGGCACTTGCTTTCCCAGTCATAATCACATTTCTTAAGTAACTGGCCCTTCTTAGCTATGGCAAGGAAGCTCGTCTTACTCATTTGGTGTGCCCATACTGCTCTTGCCACTCATGACTTGTCAACTACAATACTGTTTGTACTGTATCTCAAAGTTGGTTAACATGACCAAAACATTACCACAAATCTTTTGACCAATTGTATTATATCATGCTTAAGGGATCCCAATAAAAGCCACTGAACGTGGAAGTTGCTTATATCATTCGATCGTATAATATTTGGCAATTCCCACAATACAAGAAAATAATTGTATTTGGATTTTGAACTAGTAGGTTCAAAGTACACATTCCTACAAAAGCATAATGTTAAAAAAGAGAAATTTACATAACTACATTATCTAAGCTTCCAAAGTAAGTAGTATTTAATTTATCAACATCACCTTTCAATTCATACTTTAGGGTGTTGGAAAAAGTTAATATGGTAATGATACTTTATTTAATTTTGAACACTGATAACCAAGCGACAGGCTCCGGTGTCTTATCATTCAAGTGAACTGGGTAATATGGTAACACACACTCCATAATTTTCACTAATAAACAAAATATTTGGGCCAAAGTGGGAATTGCCTTCAATGGCAACAGACATTGTTGTTGCTCAGATTAGCGACATATGTATGTACTGTGTACATATCGTATCTTGTGTGCTGAGTTCTGTGAAATTTATGTACAGTACTTGTCAAGAAATTTTGTCCATTGAAAGTGGAACAAGTGAAGCAGCCTAATCAGTTGTACCGTAATGTAGAGCGCATTTTATTTTTTAAAACTTCCTTCCCGAGGTGGGGAGGGGAAAGGAATTGGATGTTCTTAATGACACTATTGACCAGATTAACCTCAAAAGTATGTTCTAATCCCCCTATAGATTATTGCATATCCTGTTAGGCAAAAGAGCTCTTTTCTTTAAATATTGATTCTAGAGCCAATATTGTAAACCTCACCTGATTAGATATTGTATTAGACTTCAGCATCCTAAACATTACGGTTCAAATTCATAAATATCTCGTCAGTGGAAGAAAGGGTTGACGAGTGGTGAAGTGTAGAGAATTTTCAAAGTTGTGTGTAGCTCGATGTTATGAATGAATGGTCAGTTGGACAGTGAGGATGCATGATGTTGCCCAAAATTCTTCCAGTAATAAAGATGATAGCCCTCAAAATGCAGTAGTCATGGGTAGATCTAGTAAAACAATCATCATATGACAACATGTATTTAGCTTTTGTCAGTTAGAATACCAGCGATTCCTATACAGTACAGTTCCAAAAGCTCGGCAGTGTCTCCCAGCAGTCGTGGGAGACTGCAAACTAACTTAGTCAGACTTGGTTCAGCTCCTGGTCTCTTGAGCTCAATTATCTAAGCCAACATAAAGATCTTCACAGTACTGTATACAATTTTGGTATTCATTTTACTTTTGCATACAGATTACTTTTGAATATACAGTACAGTATAGTACTGTATTTCATATGTAAAAAAAAATTGTTTGGTCCTGGCATCCATCACAACATTCTGTAAATCTAAAATTTCCAAAAGAATATTGACCACTACACGACACTGTTGTGCAGTGATTGTACTCTTTTCTCGTTGTTGACCACACTACCTAGGCCAAAATAATAGATTTTTTTTCCATACTTCTGAATAGAAATGAATTTCATAATGGTAGCTGCACTCTGAGGGCTAATAATAATAATAATTACTTTATAGTAATCATATTAATTATTAATTAACTTACTAATTCTAATTAATATTTAATATTAATACAATGCTAAACATAGGCTGTATTTTCATTAATCTGCATTGTAATTCCTTGTCAAAAAAACAAACAAATGGCCTCTGTATGCAGGTTTTCTCAATTTCTTTGCAAGCAGTATATTCACCATGTGTTGTACACTCCCTTTGCTGAATATAGACCACTCAGCCACTCGGTCAGATGTCCGGCTCTCCCCAGGACATGGCCAATTTTCAGCAGGAATATTTTCAGGCTGCTCCTGCAAGTCATTAATGGGTGAAGGGAGCTGAAGAATATTGGTGCTGTGGCACTAGTCTGAATTCTTGGCCCAGTCAAGGAACTGGGCCGAGCGTGATCACAATAGCATGATTTCATCACACTATTGTGATTTGTGTGTAATGAAATAAGGGCGAAGAGGTAGAACGGCTTATTGACATAGCTCGAGTGCATGGGGGAATTGTGTAAAAACCTGGTTTGTGTCTTGTAGAGGCTGCAAGATCTAAGCAAGTCCAGTAGAACTTCTGGTTTCAACTCTTTGACCATGTCGTAGCTCACTCGATTAAGGCAGCATCTGGGAAGATCTCGGACATGGGTTCGAATCCTCGTCACGGCCCTTGTGGATCTGTCTAAAGCCTTTTTAAGGAAGAGAGAGATGCAGTCAACCCAACCATCTCTCCTGTAAAATCTCTGTGGCTCGATCATAGAAACTGAGTAAATTCAAGCATGAGTGTGTAGACACACTCATGCTTGTGCTTCAGTTATTTATCAGCCACTGTTGTCTTTAGTGCTGGTTTGTAGTGTTAGTAGTTTCCTCTTGAGTAAATCTTGACTTTCTGAAATTCCTTGGTTTACTCCTGTACTGAGGGGATTAGTGCTGTTCTGAACTCTAAATATGGGCTCATTTGCTTGCCACATATCCATTCCTGCTATGCCCTGAAGTATGCAAAGTCTTGTGGTTCGGTATGCATCCTTTGGCCATGTTGGGCTTATGGTTATGGTTATTGCTAAAGGAAGCACTGTAGATTTAAGCTTGAAAATTATGTTTCCAGTGTAGATGAAGTTTTTCCAACTAGCCACTTTACTGTTGCTGTGTTTTCCTTTTTTCTCCCAACATACCCTGTCTGTATGGTAAGAGTTGTTGAAATATAATAGTTCCTAATTTTTTTTTCTCTCCTGTGCTGGTGGTGACATCTAGTGGCAGTCAAGTAGCCAAATGTACTTGGAGGAGGCGTTCTGTTTATTAGAGAGTATTTCGACTTCCAGGGCCGGAGTGAAAGTTATCGTACCTCCTTTTCTCCATTAATGGTCTGGTTGGGGTGGCTTAGATATTCTTGATGCCTTTAATAATAATAGGTCACTCATCAGGCAGAAATTGGGCTGTCCCAGGAAAAGTTGAGTTGGATAGTGGCTCATGGAACAACAGAAAATCTAGCTCTAAAAACTTGATTTGCATACACAGGAATATTTTGAAGTGCCCAAGACATACTGTTGCCGATTTTAAAAATGTATATAAAAAAAAGAGGGGGGCATTGAATGAAATTAAATGCCTCTTTCGGGAAAAGGGCTTGTTGGCTCTGTTCCTAACCACACTGAAATAGCTCCACACACGTTTCACATTGGCCCTAGGAGTCTTTAATAGCTTACTAGAGACAAGAGCCAAAAACTTGGCACCTTCATAGAGACACAACGAGCAGGGAAACCATGATCATTCATTGAAGAAACTAACACCCAGAAAGAAAGTGAAGCAGAATTGACAACTGCATAGTTCACAGGAAGTAAACAATGGAGTAAGCAACTCTGCAGATGATTTGACAGTAGTTACACTCCCTTTGGGAATCGAGAGGAATCTGAGTGGGGCTCTTGGGACATGTTTGATACCATCAGCATTCAATACCATCCACCAAGAAGCCCATATCTACCTTGGCAGACATCTAGGAATAGATTAGAAGGAATAGACCTGCCTATTTTCTGGGAGATCTGAATGCTAAAAGTCAGAGCCTTCGATCATGGGAGAGAGAACCCGATAGGCTTACCTCAATCAGCTGCTGATCAGAAATGGAACAAATCTGGGCCTTAACTTTCATAATTACATCAGATAGGGTCAGTGGGAAGTGAGACAATACAGGAAAACAACACACCCTTCATAGAAAGTTGAAGTCTTTCAGATTTCAGGGTTAAGGAAACATCTAGTAGAAATACAAAGCCAAATGAGGGAGGGAATTATCAGGGTAAAGTGCCAAGCCATTATGACTCTAGCATGGGGAAGGGGGCAGGATAAGGGTTTGGGATGCAATGGGGGGGGGGGAGGAATGGTGCCCAACCACTTGGACGGTCAGGAATTGAACACCGACCTGCATGAAGCAAGACCGTCACTCTACCGTCCAGCCCAAGAACCAAGCGAGTGGATAAATACTTGCCAAATATATGAATGAACACATCTGAAATTTCAAGCCTGATACTGCTTCCCTCCACCCCCCACTCTTGACATCGATCAAGTAGAGAACACTGCTAATGAAATTAATGCATCTTCAGCTTCACAAGGGTTTGACTGAACAACAAAATGCTGTTGTGAGGACTTGATGAGTTTGAAGGTTTATGCAAATTAAAAAAATATAACAAATGTGATGATTTGATAAGGAAAATTCAAACAGGTCACAAGAAGCCAAGGAAGCTTGGAAAACAAACATACAGTAAACCTGATCAGGTCTTGGTTGACAATATAACCTATAAAAATATTTAGTGGTGAACAATAATTTAAGAAATATTTGAATAGCTGTTCAGAATAAACACGGTTGGAAATATAAACTTCTATCCTAACTCTAAACATTAGATTACTAACCTGGTGGAAGACATTATTAAAACAATTCTTGATTTTTCCTTCTGTGTTGATAAATGAATCTTTAAGTTATAAACATTGTCCCATTATTACATGGTCTCCTCCAGTTTGGTGCCTTCTTTCGATAATTACTTACTTATCTCATTACAGATTTCAACCTAAATATTTATTGTTTACTATATTAATAGATTACTTGCTTAGTAATACATTAAATACTTGATGACATTTTGCCTAGTAGTGTTTAGGGATTGTTGAGAGGTAGTTCAACGAGAAAACTAGTGTATTTTTCAGTGGTCTCGTGTGCAGAGTAGCTCGCTGCCCTTTAGTAGAGCAGGTGCTGTGATGTAACTTGAATCTTTACAACCATCAAATGGAAATTTTAAGAGCTTGGTAATTTGAAGCTATTTATTAAAAATCTTTCTGCTAAAATTGGCTAGAAATGGAGAATCTTCACTTGACATTTCCTAATAAATTCACTTGCAGAGTCTTTTATCAAGGTTGGCCAGTGTAGCCCTGTGCTTTTTGTAGCAGGCGGTGTCCTTATTTGCTTCGGTGTTGGTATAAAATCTTTAAATATTTCCTATTGTAATTTTTTTTTTTTTAATATACATTATAGTTACACCATAAGTATTGAATTGCACCTTATTTAATGCCTGTAAGAATATTGTCACAGGGTTTGTACGTATTTAATTTCACATTGATGGAACTACCATACTTGGCTATAAATGTCCTTTGAACACTTGTTGGATCACACAATGGAAAACCAAAAAGGTAATAAAAATTACAAACTTTATACAAATGGCAACAATTTTTATCTGCAAAATTCGCCGATTAAATAAAAAGAATAAATGAAGCTACAGTACTTTGACATGCATTTACAGTAATACCAAATTCTAGATTTCTGGATTGTAATGGTTTAAATTAGACCAGGCTATTGAAACTGTACTGGAAGGCCTAGTGGTTGGCAATGGTATTCACTTGGGTATGGCATAACCTCAGTTATCCAGATACATGACTGAAAATCCAGCTACAATAACCAAATACAGTAATAAATGGATGTAATTATATTCAGCATTATTTGGCATTTATTTTGAAACATATTAAAAATACCTGTAATGGTATTTTAAAAGAAATGCAGTATGTATTGTACATATAAAACATTAATGACATTTGTTGATATAATTAAGTAACCTCTACTGCAAATCACAACACTACTTTATTGATAATGTGGATTAACCCCCATTAATTGGACATGCTCTGGCTAATGTGGGTAGAGAACCAGGAATTTCTATGTCTGGATATTTTGAGTAATGGGGATCTGGATAATGGGGGGGGTTTCCACTGTATTGAACACAGTATAGTATGAAAGTTGATTTAATGAAACATAAAATAGTATTTTTTTTTAATAAGGGATTATAACATTGCTTAGCCCCTGCACTGCGCACCTACTTCATGTGACAACTTCATGGGGCAGATGTTGAGGAATTATCATTAACTGAAAATTTAACACCACTCGTAGTGCCTTAAATTGCTATGCACAGTGCAGTGGCTACTGTGATCAAAGGTTCAAAGAGAGAGGGGGATGGAAATTACTGTACAAGAGTAATTAATTAGTTAGATACTGTGTGTATAATTTTTGTTTATAGAATGGAGTTATACACAGAATTTGATAATCTCTTCAGGAGTATTTGGTTAGAAAAAAAATTAGTTCAATAGTTTACATTATTACAGCATTTTTTTTATCAATTATAAAGTCCCATAATGGTAAACAAAGCTTTCCCTCGACCTCAAGCGGTGAGTGGGTCCCGGCGATCCTCAGCTGTGTCGATTGGAGAAGGTAAATCGTGTTGAACGCATCACCCATCATCAAAAAAACAAGCTTTGTGTAAGTTTAAGTTTATTTCTGGCAGCATATGAACTAACCATACTTGTCATGCTGCCACATTCAGAATTGTTAACTCAGCCGTTTGGTACATGGTTTATACCCCCCCCCCCCCCCTCCTCCCCTATCCCTCCAGTGGAGTGTCTTGGGCATTTGTTTTTTAGCATTTGTTATTTTTTTCAGTTGGAACTCTGACACGTGAAGCTTTGTTGCCAGTTGTTGAACATTCAACAGATCAAAATTTAATATGCTGCTCTATAACCTGTAAAAAAGAAAAGTTTTGAGAATTAGGGAATTCTATTTATATTCCTGAAGTACATGCTATTTCAGTAGTAAAGGAAAAACAAATTATAGCATGGTTTAAAGATCTCAAACCAATTCAAACTGGCAGTTGAGCTTGGTCTTTTCCTTAGCACCCAGGAATTGATGAGAGGTTGGGTTTCATTTTCTGTTGCTCCTTGGTAATCTTGTGTTCATTATCACTTATCTTTTATCTTGGCCTCTCCATTCCCCCCCCCCCCAATCATTCAGGATTATTATTTTTTTGATGTTGACTAATTTCTGGCAAATTGCACTTCATCGACTCATCATGACCATTTAAAGCTTAGTGTAACATCTTAGCCATTGCACACATAGCTAGTGAACTATTGCTCGGCACTAAATTACAGCAGAGCTTGTTGGGGGCACTAATACTGTGCTTGACATAGAAGTGAAGAGCACAGAATTTGCTTGACTTAATTATATCTTGCTTGACTTAACAGGATACAAGGTAATAATTTATCTTTGCATGGTGGGGAATCATTACTATTATTACACTGCTTGAATGCTGCCTGGTATATTTACATTATCGATGAAGTTGCATAACATTTCATAGTTAAATTATATTCTAGCTATTATGTTTTGCTTGGAAAATAGTGCAGTGGTCAATGAGAGAAATTTTAACAAGTTTTAAACTTGATGGAATACTTGCAGGATTGGCTATATTGTTTTTATTTATAAATTTGCTAATTAGATAGTCTTGTTAGCTCATTATTTTATATTTTAGAGAGCATGTGCTGGTCAGTTGAATGGATATGGATACATAAATTTAATGGTTTATCCACAGCTCGGTATTCCTCTGGATTATTATGTATTTTCTTTCCATTCTATAAAATGGGGAATGCAATTGGATGACGGGAAATCTCAAAATAACCAATTTTCTTGCCTTACTTATTTGTCTCTTCCAATTTCTATTACATGACTTCATAATGGTTCAGGATGGACCGGAATGTTGTCCTTTCTTCGTTTTCTGATGTGAGAGTTTGATCATCAAGGCACTTAAGAATTTGATCAAAAGTGTTAAGTTGAGTAATTTATTTACTAGGGAAACAAATTTTCACACTTATATTTTATGCTTAAAATGACTGTTGTGCATATTTAGTTATGGAGAAGTTGGTTGAAGTAGATGGAATTACACTTTCATATCCACCTAGAAAACTAAAAATGTTAGCAGACATTGATTCTTGGTGGTACTTCTGTCTGGAATAAACTGTTGTTGGTCTCAAAAATGGCCTCCATCTCCACATTGCCCATTTGCTTAAAAAAAAAATGATATTTACCCCATTATGCTTTTCTTCCTTTTCAGTTTACCTACTTTTCTACTCGGTTTTGTAGTACAGGAGAGTGGCATTGTTCCACCTACGTGTAAACCAACATGGGAATATATTTAGCGGACATTTGAGGTGCCTCTGTGAGACATTACCATAGAAAGCATGGAAAGATTTAGTGCCTCATCCATCGGGTTTAAAGGGAGCGCGTGAGAAAGACGTCCATTCCGTTTACATTAAGAAATTAATGTAAAGTTAATGCATAGACACTTTACATTAATTTTGCATACCGATTTTAAATTATTCTTTGCAACTGCAGTCACACATGTTAGATTATATATTGTTCTAAGTCACAAAGGAATTTCTTTGCAATAGTTTGAGGAATATGTGTAAAGTTAAAAAAAAAAAAAAAATTAATAATAATCTGAAGAATGCCTTACTCCAATGACTTGTTTACAAATAATTACAATGGCAGCATTTACACTACTTCATATTTTAATTTAACTATTAGGTGTACTGTAATGATGCTCAGCTGTAGTTCATTGTCTGAGAATGTGTGCATTTAGGTGTGAAATAAAGCACAGTAATGTGTAGCTGTACAATCAGCTATCAATCTGTACATCAGATTGAGCAATGCCTTGGGTACAGCTGTTGTTAATACAGTAATTATATCTCGCTCACTTTTCCTGACACTAATATACATTCTGGACTGATACAGTCCAGCAGCCATGGTATAAAAATTCTTGTATACATAATTGGTTTTTAATATTAAAATGAATCGATTCTTTTTATTGGCAAAGTAGGTTTAAACTCGCAAAGGAATAAATCCTTGATACAAAGTAATTTTTTATAAATTTTGCAGGTAAAATATTTTAATATAGCTGACATTAATTTTTAGTGCAATTTTTCACCAGAGTTGCTAACCCTGACGACAGTAGTACATTTCAAAGTGAATTACATTGTATAGTGTGACAATATCAGACCACGGAGGAAGAATTGAAACAGGAATTTCCTTAAGTACATTCGTACACATCTTCAGAAGGAATGAATGAAGATGAAGTTTCAGAAGGAATGATCATTCATTCCTTCTGAAGATGTATTAATATGAGAGAGTACTTAAGGAAATTCCCGTTTCAATTCTTCCTCCGTGGTCTGACATTGTAACATTTTTCTTCAAGTGTTAATTTTCGGGATTTACACACTTTGTATACAGTATGTGTAGGCTGTTATCAATTTGCGCATAAAAAATTATTTGCATATTAAGTTCACAGGCTTAATTTAGTACAACAGTAACTTGCTTTATTATTTACAGCAAAGACATTGAAATTGTATTCATTAACTTCAGCCTCTTTTAAGTTAGTATTGAATGTGATGGTTTGAGTGTGTGTGTGTTTACTATTTCTGTCTGCAGGATCGAGCTATTAGCACTTGGACCCCACCTTTCTAATGTTGGTTAAAGAATTTGGGACAGGACGAGGTGAAGGAATGGTGTCCAACCACTTGGACGATCGGGGATTGAACGTCAACCTGCATGAAGTGAGACCGTTTTGTTACCGTCCAGCCCAAGTGGTTGGGCCCAAGTGTGTGTGTGTGATTTGTTAGGGACTTGCTGCAGGATGACACTATCGTGTGCATAACTTGGATATTAATAATGCCTTTCCCACTGGTAGGATTTTACATTTTGCATCTATCGGCTCTGCCTAGGAATTAAAGCTTGGTTCTTTTGGAGAGGCTGACTTCTAACTTTGACCAATGGAATGTGTAAATTATACAATGCTAATCTTTCTAGCTTGCTAAAAGTTTAATATGCAAGAATAGCCTTTACTATTAACTAATGTACAGTATTTCTTCCTAATTGGTAAGATTTGCATAAGGTTAAAATACAAGTTTTCAAGTAGATATTTAAGCAACACCTCTTGGTTATCAGATAGTATTATACAAGACTGGACTCTGATATGCAAGGTAGAATTTGAACGGGTCTTGACAAAAAGTCTTTGTGGTGTGAATGTTGCTTCCTTGTCACCTGCAACCACACGGCAAAATGTTCGCAATTCTGCCTAAATTTCATAGGAAGAACAAAGGAAATACTTGGTAGTCATACATGAGCAACAGGACACACAGAAACTGTAACTAGTGAACCGTAAAAAAAAAAAGTGTTGTCGCTAGGTAAAGTTCTGCAATGTTGACAACCCTTTACTTCTTCCACAGTAGTGCCTCAGTGGGCGACTGGGGCCCTCCGATCTTGCTATCGACAAAGAGTATGCACTTCTTTGTAAAAGATATTATTTTAAATGTTTAGGTATTAAGCTTCTTTTTTAAATTTCCTGTTTTTCATTGTTCAGATTTAAGTGTTTGAAAATAATGCTTCAGTTCGTGCTCCCCCTCGTTATATTTTGTGATAAATGTGAACTATGGCTTCCACAGCCACCTTCAAGTGTTTGCTTTATTATAGTAGCCATTGGTCATTTCACTTCTTATAGTATGTGTTTTATTGCCACCTCTCAGCTTCCCTGACTTTGATCTCTCTTGAATATATTTATCATTTATATTTGTTCCCTTTTGATTCTGTTAATTTCTCTGCTGTGTTCTCACTTTTCCTTTCCTGTTCTCCACATCTGTCTAGTTCTACAGCTGTAGTAATGCTATGTGGCAAGTGATAAGAATCAATACAGTAATAGGCTAGTTATTCTTACACATCTTGTGTAGTAAGATCATAGGTGAGAGTTTCCCACTTTTCTATTCTTATTATTAAAGCCATTGCCCTTATGACCAGTTAAATGAAAGGCAAAAATTAGATGTTTTAGTAATGTCATTAGCACTTGTAATGAGGTTATTGATACCAGCAGTGATGCTAGACGTTCAGTTGCCAGATGTGTTCTCGAAGCAATGCGCATTATGCTGTGGGTGTTACCTTGTAGGTCTTCTTCCCGTTCTCCATCTTTGGGAATCTGCTGCTGCATGAGGAACATCTTTGTGAACAAATATTGGAGTTCTGGTTTTCAAATTTGTTTGCATGCACAGTAATAGAGCTTAGGCAAGCATGCTGCCAGAAATCTTTGGATTGAATAAATTAGTGATAATAGAATGGCAGAAAATTATGTAATTTGTGGTTCTTATTCAATGACTGGTGCCACTTTATAACCTTGTAAAACTGCGTGCATGTAAAATTTTATCAGTGTTTAGATTGTTTAGATTATCCAATAGAATTATCCAATAGAATGTTTAGAAGTATCCAATAGAATTATCAACTAATACTGTATTTGATTATACAGTAGTAACTTGTCAGCATTCAGTTTTGATCATGCAATGGAAGGGTACATCCATTTATATTAGTGTAAGATGTGTGTGCTTGTTAATACTGTGTAAACCTATTGTAAATACACACACACATGCTGACAAACACTAACACAGCAACAATTCCATTTGTCATGGCAGTAGGTCTTTGGATTTGACAGCTAGTCTTGTTAATAAGATATTACCAATATTTTAAAGTAAATTTAAAGAATTTGTATTATAACACAGTTAGTCAAAACAATATTAAAGACTCCAAACTTGATAGCCATGATATAACGATGGTAAAAAACATAATTAAAGCAAATGGAATCTTGACATTATTGTGGCATTCAGACACACTTTTCTGCATCTTTATCAATTTACAAAGGCGTGCATAAATAAACTTGTCCTTGGAGCAAATTTTATTGCTATAGGTTATTTAAATATGCATCTTGCTAAACCTATTTTGCTAAATGTCTTTATTTATGATATTGCAGTACAGTAATAAAACATGTGGGGAAATAACTTGCATTAAAGAATTGGGTCCAGCTTTTTGGATCACCCAAACTACTGTCATTTTGCACCAAACATAGTACTGTACTTAAAATCTTGCCATAACATGCCTTATAACAAAATATTTGTTGGTTCTTGACAATGCTGTTGGATGAACAGGGCCTTGTGTATACTTGGCGTTGTCTGTATTGCTTAACCATTTAATTGTGTTCAGTGCAAAGGGGATCAATTGATAAATCTTTGAGGTAAATGCAGTGGAGTAAAATTTAATTTGTATGGCATTGCGGAATGTAATGTTAATATTTGATGGTGCAACAACACGCAGCCCGTTTTCTGACATATTGATACAGTACATTCTTATGCAAGCTTATTTTCTTGTGTATAGGTGCAAACAAAATCACGATTTTATATACTGTACTGTATAAACTTTGATGCATACATATAAATTGTGTAATGTACTGGCACCTGGTACATTCTGGAGAGTGCATGACCATGTCAAAAAATTGTTTGTCAACCTAGGTTCATTTCAGCTGTGCATGTTAAATTTGCTAATAGCTAATGAATCATATTTTACTTTAGCATAATGCCAAATTGTTACAACATTGGCCATTGTTTTATCATTTTTCTCAAGCCAATATTATTATAATTGTTTTTCTTTGGGGATGGGGGTGTTCACGTGAACTCAAACATGGGCTTACAATAAATACATATTCATACATACACACATGATCCTGCTGAGCTTTTATGATAGCCAGGATTATGACGGAAGGCCTGGTCAGAGACCGGGCCGCGTTGATCCCTTGAATCTACACAAGGTAAGTAACCACAGAAACCTTATAGGAAAGAGGGTTGGGTTGACTGCATCTATCTGCACCTAAAGGTTTTTGACAAGTTCCCTACGCAAAACTGTTCTGGGAGTTAGAACATGGAACAACGAGACTTCTGTTATGGATGGAAAAACTTTACAGAAAAATGAGTAGAAACTAGAGGCAATGTATCTAACTGAAGAAAAATTACTAGCAAAGTACCACAAGGCTCATTACCAGCACCAGTAAAATGATCTACCAGAGGGGATACAAAATTATATGAATGTTTGCTAATGCTTAGCTATTAAGGAAAATACAACTTCAGCAACTGTCATGCCCTTCATGATGACCTGGACAAAATAATTTTGGAAAGGGGCTAATGTGGAACCAGTATATAAGAGGACGACTCCAATTTTAACACTTTCGCTGCCTGATGCCACATATTCCGTCATGGAAATGAAAATTCAGAGTGCCTGATAATGCAAACGGTGTCATTACATTAAAAAATTTGCAGAAATTCCATTTAATGTCCAAATATAATGGACCTTGTTTTAAAATGTGCACCAACTTCTGCCCATTCTCTGTATACCCCACGTGGCATCCCAACCCCACCGTGTGGGCACCCACCCACGCTGGAGGCTCGCTGTTCTCGTGATCTCGCTCGTGACAGCTGCGGCTTTCCCCTCGAGTCAAAGTTTTCCCATTCAATTTATTTATCTCGGGTATTATAAATTAATACCCGAGATTCTTGTTATCAGCTTTATAAACACTGCAAATAGACTTCCAGATGGATACTGATTAAGAACAGAGCCAATCCATGATGAAAGCAGTGACAAACACAGTTGAGGGACAAGTTATCGAGTGTTCGTTGAAGGTATAGAAAAGGTAAACTTGTACTGTATGTTCTTATATGCAAATATATCTTTACAGCATTCTATTGCGAACAATTTTATATGAAGTTGAACGATGTAGCATGAAAATTGAGGTGAGAAAAGTGGAAAAAAAAAAAAAAAAAAAAAAATACAAACATTTGAATGCCAGTGTTGTGTGAGGATGGGTGCTCGCTCACAGGTAATGCTCGGCCGATTTTCAGGTTTGCTCTGGATGGTGTGCTGGGCCTTCCGACCTTGTATGCATATATCTCTTGAGAGTATTCTATTTAGAACAATTTGATACCAAAATGAACAGCTTAGCACGAAGATTGTGGGAAAAGTGAAAATCGTATAAGCATTTTAGTGTGGGTGAGCGCTCATGTGTAACTCTCGGCCAATTTTCAGGTTTGATGAGAGTGGCTTGCCGGGTCTTTTGACCTTAAAAGCTTATGCAGGTATTCTCTTGGATAATTTTATTTTACTATTTGATACCAAAACGAACAACATTGCATTGAAAATTGAGGTGGGGAAAAGTGAGAGAGTCTACACATTTTAGTGCAGGTGCGAGCTCACTGTAAATGCTTGGCCAACCTTGGGGTGTGTGGCAGGTCACCTGCTGGCCCAGCGGAAGTGTTAAACTACTGATCGGTAAGATATTAGACCTTAAAATAAGGCTCATATAATGCCTGGATCATTTGAATTGTTTGAAAGCATAAGTGTGGATTCAGCAAAGAAAAATTCTGCATGACCAACTTTGTTCTATGACAGTGAATACGATCAAATGGGAGAGGGGGAGCTGGGCAAATTGCATTTTCCTACATTGCCAGAAAGCTTTTGACACTTCCACGCAAGCTACATTTCTAGGTAAACTTGAAAAATGGGCTGGTGTCTTGAAGGATTTTAAAGTGGGTGAAGGAGTGTGCTTTTCAGGAAGAAGGTAGTCATAGAAGAGATATTAGATGGGAGACATAACGAAGGAAGTACAGTACCTCAAATTTAACACAAGCCCATTCATATCAATGTTTGGTGATAAGCTAATCAGATGAGATGAATTGGAACTGAAAAGGATTGCAATACATTGAAAGATAAACAATGCATAAAGACAGTCTGGTGAGATGGTAAGAGAAATATCTACTAGACTTTAACCCTGACAAGTGCAAGGTTGAGTGAGAATTGGAGCAAGATGACCTTAAATACAGTACAGAATGATGAAGGCAGTTTCTCACTTCTGAAAAAAGACAATGACTTGACAATACACACGATTTGATCTTATGCCAGTGCTACAAGGCAGAATGACGACTTGAATGAAACGAACTAGATTAGGAATTGAATAAATGTTGCTTAATGGAAAGATGTGTAAAGGTACCAGAAATCTGTGACAGGCAAAATCTGTGGTTGTGGAGAGTAAGCAATCACCAGAGGATCATATAAAGGGCATTGAGTGTAGCCTATGCTATTCAAGCAAATTTCAGAATTAGATTTAAATACATTGATGGAGAAATTAATCTGTTTATGCAATTTGTGATCAAAATTAGAATATGCAGCAATTATATGGTGCCTGTATCTCAAAACTAAATGAACTAATTAAAAAGGGTGCAAAAACATGCTAATAAGAAGTTCCCAGAACTTGAATATGATCTATAAGGAGAGGCTAGAATCATTAAATGTGCCTAGGCTGGAAGATAGGAAGGAAAAAAAATCACATGATCACTTTATACAAAATAGGAGCAAGAATTGACAAAATATAGGCAAGGAGAAATTTTTGTGATCTGAAACTTCAAGAGATCATAGATTGAAGCTATGGAAACAGATGCCCACAAAGATGTTAAACGTTCTCTTTCATGAACAGTTGGAAAAGATTGGAAAAAGTAGCAAGTGGTGGTGGATGCCAAAATATTCAGTACTGAAGTTTGAGCCTCATATGACAGATTATTGGGAAGGTGGGACACCACAAGTGTAGCTCTCACTCTGTAACTACACAGGTGATTACAGGTACCCAGCAATTGTACTACATGCAAAATAACAGGGATCAACAAAATTTATAAAAAATTACAAAAAACAGCAACTTCTAGAACAAAAGAACATGGTTACAAACACAAAAAACAAAGCTGTTGAAAAAACATCAGAAGGTTCAATTTTAACGGTATGCCAAGTGAAAAAGTAGTAGAGGCCAAAACTGTTGGTAATTTCAAAGCGTTATGTGACGGTGCTGGGAAGACAGGACACCACGTGCGTAACTCTCATCCTTTAACTATCTACATTGTGATGATTTCGGGGCTCAATGTCCCAGCAGCCCAGTCCTCGACCAGGCCTCCTCCAACTACACTTGAGTAATTACACACACCTACTTCCCCTTTTCCTCTATACACAACAAACACCCTCAGCACCCCCACCCACCTATGCCCTCAGCACTCCTTTCTCTCAAAGCAATAGTACATTCACATTTTTACTGGATATATATTGGCAAAAGTTGTAGTTTTCTTTCAACTTTAATTTAATTTAATTTAATTTTAATAAATGTACCCTAAAGTTGAACCTGCAGGGGGAAAAAATATTGGATATCACTTTATGCTAAATGTAATGAGTAACAAAACAAACTGTACTATATAAGTTTAAATGTTAATTATCTCTCCATGCTCTAAGCTTGACTTTCCTCCACTGCAGCGGTGCACAATCGTGGCATTGGTTCCCGACAAGCGTCTCTCGCTTCAGTCAATGGATCTGCAACATGCGTGAAGGATATCCGAATTACAGAAAATCCCCTGCAAAACCCCACAGTATGAGCATTGGCAGTAGCATCTCTACTTGGGACAAAGAGCGAGAGGCATTTATCAAGACCATCATATCCTCGATTTGACAGTGGTACCATGACTTCAGTCATAACATCTTGCAGTGTCAGCCATCGTGGAAGAGGAGGAAGACAGGGTTTTAGTATTGACAATGGTGCAGGAGGAATACTGCACTTTTATTAATGACATAACTTTTTTAACAGGTAAAACTTGGTGATGGCAAGTAAAGATTGTTATATTTTATTTGAGATTTTTTAATTTGTTTTAATTTTAAGTGTAGAAGTGAAGTGAAGTGAATAATTTGTCTGCCATGACAATTCGGATAGTATAGATTTAGAGCAGATATGTTAATAGATAAGCTTTGTTGTTGCTATCATTTATAAGGCTTTTGTTGCTCAGGAGGCCTCTATAGGTTTAGAAAAGCATTTAAATAGCTTTTGTTCAGCACAACCTTGAGTAGTTGCCTTTTAATATGAAGGAGAAGATGACTATGATTATCTGCTTTGCATATAATTATTAGAATAATACAGTAAATGCTTAAAACTGTAGAAGCATTAAAGTAATTTGATAGTTCATATGCTTCCTATATCATTGTCAGTATTACATTTCTGCTTTTTCATATAAGAAATTTTCTTCGCCATTTTGTATTGAAAAAGATGTGTACAGTGCTATGCAACTGTAGTAATAACGAGAGGCTGTAGTGTAACTATAGTATAACTACTTAGTGGCACAAACTATAATATTGCAACATAGTTATCCAATTGCACATTTTAATTTTGCATGAACCAATTTTCTCAGTTTGTGTTAAAATTAAATTAATTTCTACGTTGTAATTTCTCACAATTTATGATGTATTATTTGGTCATAATGTTTACAAGCAAAAATTGCATTGTTATTAATCCATTTTGATACGTTGGTTTTGGGAATCAAAGCACTGATGCAGACCTCTCGGTGAACATTATCTAGTCAGATTTGGTAATTGTATGAATGGCACACAAGGGTGAAGACCTTACAAGATGTTTGTACAATATTTTGTTCATATTTAGAATGTATCCAGTATCATTTGTTCATTGTTTTAAATTGTCTAAACTTCTATACAAATAATTTGTCCATTGTTAAAAAGATTCATTGAATTTCCCTTGGATAGCAGTAGGCAACCAGAGTTTCATTGTTACTAGGGCTTATGAAGATTCGTTAAGCTTCAAAGCTGCTGCTCATATCAAGTGAGAGCTTCACTAGGAAGCTCCATTGCCTGGGCTGCCTCAAAGGGGGATATGGTGGGGGTCGTGGTTCTGTTTTGCAAGAGGTAAAATCCGTGAGAACTCTGGAAAATTAATGAAATAACTTGTGTATATATACTGTAGTTATCAGTGTTAAAATCTTATAAAATCAGTGAATCCCCATGTAAACCCCTCTGCTGAACTGTTAACATCTTTTACATGCAACATTGTTTTATTTGTATTTTTTTAATTTTTAAACAGTTTAAAAGGAAACGTCTTTAAAGCCCATCCTCCTATTGAGACTACATATAATGATTATATCATACAATGTTATACAATACATGTGCTAGTTTATGTACAAAATAATAGCTTTTTTCACACAAACTGTGTACAATTTATCCTATGGGGATAGTCATGGAAAGAAAAAAAATACATGTACAGTAACAAGAAAACTAAAACAGCCTGGCCTAGGTGTATGTATACACACAATGTGCATGAGCATAAATACACAAGTGAGTGTGCTATACATTGCCCAATTAGACTATTCCTGATTTTGTGGTGAAAACTAAATAGTTTTTCTGTACAAAATAAGAGGTTGTGGCCTTTTTGATGTGAAGTAGTTCATATTTTGTGCATAACCTATTGTTATATTGTTATAACAGGACGAGTTGAAATTGTTCTTAGAATGTCGATTAAAAAGCTGCAACAGTTATTACTGAACTGTTACAAGATAAGGGTTTTTGCTATGTTTCACACATACAGGTGAAATACCACATGCATTTATCGAGGGGTGATAGCTTTCATTTTGCAAATTATGTATTTTTTTCTTTTAATCATACAAGACATTGATAATTTTATATTCCAGTACTGTATTATCATCTTAGCTCCCTTGAAAAAAAGGTTTATCTGCAAATGTGTATATATGTCAATTGTAGATACATTGACACCCTGTGGTGTCTCCTCCTTTCTCTTGAATAGGTTGGCATTGATGCTTGAAGAGCGCACTGGGAGTGATTATTTGGTACAGTACCCTATTTGTCGGATTTACTCTCATTCATAGTCTGCTAGTTGTGATGTGTTGCTAATTTTATTGCCAAATTATTTTACCTTTATTTCATGTACTGTATTTTATCTAAAGGAAAAAAACTTTAAGGAAATACTTGTTAAAACTCGTAGCAAAATGGGTTCACAAAACAGTGTAATCATACAAACATAAAATGTAGGCATTTTGTAGCGACTGCTTGGTTCTTGTAACCTTTCTTAAAATTAGGTTTATATTTATTACAATGTACTGTATTAGAGATTTACTGAAATCCACGTATCTTGGAATATGTGGTATTTTAAGTTTTTAATGTAATGATTGTATTATACTGTGACATAGTATGTTAAAAGCAGACTTCTGCACCCAGGGTGATCATTCCATTACTTGCAGAAACCATACCCTGTGCAATGATCAAATAAATATGTACTCGCATGATAATTTCTTATTACCTGCCTTTAGTTAAAAATATTATGCTTGGCTCATTCAACTACACATATGAACTAGGGTCATTTTATTGGTTGGGTGTATGTCGAACCAGTCGACTTTAGGTCTAGCAAAGAACTTAACACTCCTATGGATACAGAGCTCGTATTCAGGCATCTAGTAAACAGATCCCATCTTGGGGGGGAAAACAAATGTGTGCTCCTCCCAAGTGTTGGGCTTGGTGCTAGGACAGCAACCATAAGTAGTGGCCCAATCACCAGGCCCACCCAATTCACTCAAACATCCACTACTACCTTGGATTATTTATGGACTAACATAACAGCTTCCCTTACATCTGGTATAATCACTGACGGAACAACTGACCACTATCCTACCTTCCTCACAGCAAACATGAACATAACACCACCAGCTAACAAGAAACTTACCTTTAGGTTACACAGTGAAGCAGCAATGGGCAATCTCATAAATCCACTCCACAATATAAACTGGGAATCTTAATTTTATAATACACAGGATATAAATTCATTAACTAATCTCTTCGTTTCCAAAATTCTAAGCCTTTACAATACTCGTTGTCCTCTCCTCACCAAGCAACTGGCAAACGGTTAAATAATTCCTAGCTCAAGTGGCATACTCAAAGTAATCGACTTTTAACATGAATATGAAAAAACTTAGGATTGGCCTAGTTGCAAAGGAAGTAGTAAAGAGGTACTTATTAGTGCTTACCAGTATAATAACAAAAGCAAAACTTTCTTATGAAAATTGCTTCAAGGAAGCAAAAGGCAACATGAAAAGCACATGGCGAGCCATCTCTAACATCCTAGTAGCTAAACAACATTTACATAGCCAGATAAAAATCTCCAAGGAGGGTTATACACCTGCAACAGATCTAGAAACAGCAACTGAATTTAATGGCGTCTTTTCATAGATTGTCTGGCCCGTTTGTTGTGAGGGGGCTTGGTGGATGGCTGTCAAAGTGTGATGCTCCATGGGACAGTCCTCTCTCCTGCCTTATGCTCCTGCTGCTGTCTTCACCAATTTTGCCAGTTGTCTTTAACTTTTTCTTGTTTCATTTTTCTCCCCCCCCCCCCCTCTTCTCCTTTTTAATTGTCATTTCCCGCCAACCTTTTGCCCGTCTTGATTTTCCTTTTGGACATATGTTTTGACAACCGGGCAGTTGGGGAGGCACACTCTCACCCATAGAACTGTGTCACTTCACCCAACGTCGCAAGCGAGGGGACACTTTTCTTGTCAATCCTCCTTTCGTCACTGAACCCAATCTCGACGGACTGATGGTTCTTAAGACGGTGATTGTTGGGAGTATACTCACGACGCACCCCTAGGGGGAGGGGGCCCCAGCAAGACCTGTCGCTTGTTGGGTGTCCTATTCTCTAATTGTGGCTCCGTGGCGAGTATGGGGACATATTTGCGAATGAAAGTATTACCTCTCGTTTTCATGTCAGTGAATACTGTTCCTCTTATAACTTCTCGGGCTCGTGGGGTGGACGACCAAGTCCCCAAGTCGGAATGTGTTGGAAGAACGGGCTCTGCAACCCCCGCTATGTTGGGCCCAGACCTAGCTGCTCTTCTGACCCTCCTAATTACTCCCCTCGGCTCCCCTCCCTCCCACTGTGGTTGGGTCACGCCCCTAGCCCCCAGTGGTGACCACCTCGTCCCCTGGCACAGCTTGGTCTCTTAATGTGACTACTGTGCCTTTTTAACCCTCTCTCTCTCTGGGGGGGGTTCTCAACGCTGTCCCACCTAGGCTGCACTCGCACGATCCCTTCCCATACTAATATGTACCATGCCTTGTTTGGTTCTGCTTCGTGGGGTGAATACTTAGATCTCCATCTGGATTCTACACCACCTGATGATTTCTCTCCATAAACACCTTGTTGAATTGGTAAATGCTCTGTGCAACAGGTACTCTGAGAGAGAACTCTATCAATGTTCCGAACCTTAATGGAATCTGACCCATATATCAATCAGGTCAACCCATGTGTTGCGTTTCCAAAAGGGTCGCCCATGTTAGAATCGGTGAACGCCCTAGTAATATTGTTGAAAACATCTTAATAACTTATTAAACCAAAGGTCTTTTTATGTCAGAAGAACGGCAGAAACTGGATCTATATATGAAAACTCTTTCAGGACAAAATTTAAAGTAAAACTAAAGATATTTGTAGTTGTATAAAAGTTGCATTTTTCATCGGTCGTAGAGCCGGAAATCCGCAATATTCATCTCAGAACAATGCTTATTTCACGCAGAATCGTTAATAAACGTTAACGTTAAAATAAGATTTTTATACGTCTCAAGAAAGATAGAAACAATCTTCATTTTAAATGCCTTACCATGGGCATATTTGTATTTAAAGCGAAGATACGTGTATTTTTCTAATCGGCGAGCTCCGATCCCACACAGATCGAGCAACGGAGTAACTCTCGCAGAACAATGCTCATTTCACGTAAATTCGTTAAACACCTATGTTTTATAGGTCTCAAGAAAGAGAAATATACGCTTCATTTTAAATACTTTAACATAGACATATATAAAGCTCAAGTGAAGATACATACGTTTTTATAGTGGCATTCAGTAGCTTGTCGGTCATGGAATGCAGAAGCCTACGCACTTGCCAATATAGTGTGTAATGAACAAAGATACGCTTATAAAGCCTAAAATATTATATGCCTTCAGAAAGACATATGCTCGTTATTGTGAGTGCACCAAAGGAAATATATCTTGGAGGACAAAGATATATCAATTCTAAAATAAGTTTCGACTCTCGCCCCATCTATTGGAGATTCTGTTCACCTAATGACCCAAAGCTACTCAAAGCCTCCTAGCATTACTTAAATAATGAAGAAATATGGTATATTTATTCACTATAATGTTGGTGCTTAATGCAGAACACGAGAAAACATTTACTATAAAATAGTATACTTCCATTATGAAATAAGTAAATATGTGGCCTCATAGGAAGTCAACGGTCCAGGTGTCAATGTTGTGGAGCGACTTATCCAAGATATATTGTTGTCTGGAAAGTGTTTGTTGGCATATCAACCTTCTGTACACAGTGATCCAGTCGTCACTTCTCTCCTTAAATGATCGCAAATTTAGTTTATTATATTAACAAGTAGAATACGTATTTCTAATAATATCTAACATTAGAAGCCAGAAAATATTTAAGACTTTTTGAAAAATACATGTCTGGAAGTTAAATCGACTTCATAGAACAATAGTGTTTGTCTATACTAATCGTTATTCGTTAGTATGCGTTCGCTACTTAAAACATTTACTGTACTGATGTAAAATCTCCCATGTCTCTTCGCACATGGAACACCGAACCTTACACTCTGATATATTGTTTAATTAATAGAGATTCACTAATAAAGCTTATAATTGTATATAGTTATCAAAAAGGCATAGATAAAGTTCTTACGTTTTAGTCACAGATTAGATATTAGTAAAGTAAAGTTCATTTTTTCTGACCAGGGGGAAAAAAGACAGGCCGAATGGGCTTAAATTTTTTATTAGTAAATTAAATTCTGCAGAACATGTAAATAATATAAGTAGGAATTAACAAATTTAACATGTCCATGTCTGAGGACTAATTAACTTAATGTACCCCCGTTGTAGTAAGCATAGCCTAGACATGGCAAACACGGCACACTTGCCTGGCCGCACATCTCCGTCGTGGGCGCATCCGATCCCACGATCGTCGTTGCCCCTAAATCAACACATCTCCGTCGTCTACGGCTGGTAGATTCCCCATATTGCCAGTGGTGTCCGACCCAGGAGGATACAGTGGAGCACCTACTTCACTGCCCTCTATTTCATAGCGCTCGCGTCAGACTACAGAGTTCCGTTCGTAGGCTGAATATTCCCCGCCTCAGTTCCCGTTCTCCTTGACGGGGCAGGTGCGAGAGACGAAGACGTCCGTCATGACATCTTTCGCCATACCTTCCGCTTCATCCGTCATGTCCGCGGCCTGAAGAGACTAAAATTTGTCGCCTGAGGAGATTGTAGGGTCTATGGCCTGAAGAGACTATAGGGACCCCATCCTCTCTGCTATTTCCCGGTACCGGGCAGCCGGGGCGCATCCGATCCCACGATCGTCGTCCCTAAATCAACACAACACGTTCTGCAGAAACCTAATGGCAGATGAAATATAATTAGAACTAGGTATAACAGTCAGGACACAAAGGGGAAATAAAGTGTATAGACAACACTTAACGGAGCCCTACCAACACAATGGGAAATCCTAGAATTAACAGCCGGCAGAAAATACCTAGTGACTGGGGAAAACTGATATGACAAATGGGAGAAGTTTTTCCCAGGGCGTGAGGCCGGCCGCCAAGGAATAAGAAGCGTTTCCCGACTCTTACTAGCCCCTAGACTGGGCAAAGGATTAGCTGCGGACAGCGGAACACTTGGGGACCGGCGCTGCACCCCCTCCCCACTTGCGGTGGGGAGGGACACGGGGACACGGCACAAAGCATGACTGGGAACTGCCACTTGCATGAAGGGGAGGCGGGTGGGAGTTTCGAGTACTGCGGCGGTCGGGTGAAAGTGACGGAGAGCCCCTCTCTGCCTCGGAATTTATATGGCCCCAGACTTCCCGCGCATCTGCGAGGGGCGCACTGCGCAACTTTTTTTTTTTTTTTTTAACCGACTTCAACAATTATTGATTGTTGGGCTGTTCTATCGTTCTATACTATTCTATTGGATTATTTTGAAATGAATTACTACTTGCTAGATCCCTCCCCCTGGATAAACTTCTGCCCTTGACCCAGATACGGTAACTGGTTCCCCACCCTTTTTTACTTGTCAGGGTTTTTTCCCGCTAAAGCTCTGCTCGGTTTGATAGTTACCTCACTTCGCTACAGACTAGTTTCCAATTCAACAATTTTTTTTTTTTTACCGACGCTCTCCCTATTGATGAGAACTACAACCTAATGAAGATAAATGTTAATTTTATGTAGATACTGTAATAAACGAAAGTTTTTAATGTCATCAGAGAAGCAGAAATATAGGCATATTTTAAATCCCTTGTCATAAATATAACTGAAGTGGAAGCAAAGATATATGCATTTTGATAGTTACAAAGACAGCTCTTTAACACGGGTGGAACACGAACAAGGGGAACTTAGTACCCAAATGAGCCACAGAGATATTAGAAAGAATTTTTTCAGTGTCAGAGTACTTAACAAATGGAATGTATTAAGCAGTGACGTGGTGGAGGCTGACTCCATACACAATTTCAAATGTAGATGTGATAGAGCCCAATAGGCTCAGGAACCTGTACACCTGTTGATTGACGGTTGAGAGTCGGGACCAAAGAACCAAAGCTCAACCCCTGCAAGCACAAATTAGGTGAGTACAACAAGATGAATACAGCTGAGGGGCGGGACCAAACAGCTGAAGCTCAATTCCGTACGCATAACTAGGCGAGTCCATAGGAATTACCGTTTGTCCTGGCGCCATCTATGTTTTGACAGCAGTACTACTAATGTTCCCACGTTATGTGATGATCGCTATACTGGGTGTTACGGTCAGTTGCTCTTCTATATATGTTTATGGACAACGTAGGTGATTTGAGGCAATTTGCGGCCAGAGTGAAATAGTATCCACGCGGTGAGTGATGGAGGAGGATATATACTGCTGTGTACTCGACCAGCGGGTGAGAGGTAAGCTATATCTAACAATTATGGGGAATAGATGGGTTATTTTAAGCGTAGAATGTCAGGTAACCTGTAACTACACAGATGGGGTAGTGTTTTTTTAAAGTCTTTATTTACTAAAGTGGAACATTACATTATGCCTTTAGCTGAACAAGTCTACTGGTGGGGGAAGTAGACGGGTTTTATGTAAGTATTTTACCTAAATATTTGTATTTGGTTAACTAGTTCAGCCGTTACCAGGGAGGGTGTTCCTTTAATCTAATCTAAAAATTCTAGCCGGACAGTGATTAAATAAAAAAATTGAATAGAACGAAGTGGTTTGCCAGGGTGCTGTTCGTACATCAGCTCAGGGTCCTGAGCTGATGTACCCTATGGCGAAGATTGAGGAAGTAGTTTCCTGAAGTAATGAATGGCATACTTTATAACCAGCAGCCGGCACCAGCTCTGGACAACGTCGGAGTGGACGAGGCCCAGATCCCGTGGGGAGGAAGGTCTACACTAACATGTAAAAGGTAGATAATCTGACCCTCTCCCCCCTCCCCCCCATTGGCAGTTTGTCACAGGTCCCCCCCTTTTCCACTTAATTAGCTTGTAAAGCTTTATCTTAAACAGCAGCTTAACTTGGCATTTATGGCTTTAGTGGGACTGTTCCATTGGATAATAGTGGGTGGGGAAAAGCGTCTTTTGTTCTGCATTAGTGTTTCTCTTTAAACCATTGATTCCATGTTGCATTCAACTTTATCTTGACATCGTTTTGCTAATTGATCAATTTTCTGTGAAGAAATGGATAGCATCCTATCTGGCTTTACTTTGGGATATTTTTGAGTTTCTTGCAGAATTTGAATCTTCAGTAGGTTCAGATTTTTATATGCTGAACATGTTCCAGGAGGCTTTGCTTCGTTACTAGGTTGCAATACCTGTACAATCTACATAATGTAGTTTATTATAGGTGCGAATGATACTTGGGAAAGCTATTATTCCCATAATACTTAAATATTGTATCTATTGAATCAAAGGTGTTTCAAACTTGCCGTTATTGTTCCTTGTCTGAGGGTAGTGAGAAATTGTCCAGACTTTCTAGATGGTGAATATATTCTATAACATTTCCCTGAAAGTAATTACAAAAGTAGGTAATTATTAGTTTCTTTAAATTTGGATAATTAGAATTGCTTTGGTAGTTTAGAGTAGATAATTTTAGTCGGATACCATGTTGTGTAATCTAGTTTTATTAATTACGCCAATACTAAAAAGCTTTTTATATTGGAAGTCTTTGCACTTGTTTCCTAAGATTGGCATCATTAGGTGCATATTCCAGCTTCAGGAAAAGTTGTAAATAGATAATGAAATGTATAAATGTATTTATTTCTTTGTTGGAATATTTTAAAGGCTGTAGGTTGTGCTTATTGTAATTTAGCATTAACATATTGTCCAGTCTTAAAGGCCATGACAGTTAGGTTTATAATCTAGTATCTTGGCATAGATAGCAAACGTGTTTATAAAATTTAGTATTAATTTTAGTAAGTTAATTATCAATAATTAACACCATTTGTGTAAAATGTGTGGTACTGCAGTTTAATAATTATGGTCCAGAATCTTGTTGGATGTTAATTTGAGTGAGTGAATATTTCCAAAAAGTTGATGAACAGTGGCCATACCTATTGGAATAGATAAAAAGGGCAATTTGAAAGTCATGAGGTGACACCCAAGCTCTGGGATGCTGTGCTAATTTGTTAGCAGGTAAACTTGTATTGCTTGTTATGGGAGACTGGCCACTGTAATTCTCTACTCGATATACAGGCTAAATAGTCTCTACTATGAAGTCCATATGCTATTGTCAAGAAAGTACATAGGTGGGTCTTAGGTTATGCATTGGATGAGGAAAATGGGAATGTATAACTTGTCCTTGATGATAGTTTAGTATATTTTTTAGCTAGTATGTTGCATAATAGAAATAGTGGTAAAATGTTCATTGCACACAATGGCACCAGCTGTTAAATGATATTGATCAGTGCATTGTTACTAGATTCTTGGAACTTTTCCTTGCATGGTCAGTAATTTAATATGGTAATTATAGATTTGTATACTTGCCTATTGGTTAAATTTGGTGCAAATTAGTTTTTATTGTACATTTCTAAAGTTTTGTAATTTGTTATACATAGTTACTTTAATATTCATAAACTGCTAAAGTGCATAATTTTAAAGTTTAATAGAAATTAAAAGTAAAGTATACATTTATTAATTTAGATTTTCTCTTGACAGGTGGAGATGCATTTTCTGCAATGACCCCTGTAATGTATTGAAATGTATTTGTTGGTAGTAGCTTACAACTTTGGTTATGGCCTCTTGTGTTGATGTTGTCACTTATTGTAAATTGTGATGAATCATGGTATGAGAGCTGTTCTCCAAGTTTATTAAAACAAGCTTTTTGGCCGTTTTAGAATACTTAATATTCTTGGCACCATCTGTCTTGAGACTAATAGACTTGCATTACTAGATTATAAATTTATGGGTGTCATGGGCAGTTGACCTTCCTTATGAGCAACAAGGTGATGCAAGGTAATTTTTCCTCCCACACTTTGATGTATTGTTTAAGCCATAGTGTGGTGCGTGGGATTGAAGAAATAATCACCGCTCCACATTGTGATAAGATGGATTCCTGTTGCATTGAAGCCTGCAAGTTGAATAAATGTTTTGGCAAATATTGTAGTTATAATACTGTACACTTGTAATACAGTACTTATTATAAACACTGTATACGTATAATACTGTTAATTTTTTTATTGATAAATACCAGTTTATATTGTTAATGAGTAATAAGGATTATAGATTGGTGAAAGGGTGGTTATATTAATTTTAGAAGTACTTTGTTATAGCAAATGTTCGTTTTGAAGGTAGTTGAAATGTAATTCTTGTAAATTGCCCATTTCTAATAGTCGGCAACGTCGATTTTAAAGTATTGAAGGCATTGTAGGAAGTCTTTACCAAAGTAAAGGTATATTGGGGTACTTAATGTAGGTGTATGAAAGCTAAAAGTTGAAAATGTTAATAGAACATTAATGTTGTATAGATTGTCACTGCCCATCCTGTAGATATTAGTCATGGCAAGTTGTCTACTAAATGAGGTCCCAAACCCTTTCTGGCTTGTCATGAGGGAGGGGGGGGGGGGGGGGGGCTTGGTGGGCAGCTACTAGAATGATGCTCCATGGGGTCAGTCCTGTCATTTGGAGGCCTTGTGCTCCTGTTGCTGTCTTCACCAATTTTGCTAGACACTTTAACTTTTTCACTTTTAGTTTCAATTTTCTAACCCCTCTTCTCATTTCCAACTAATTTCCTACTGACCTTTTGCCAGTCTTGATTATTTTTTTTCTCTTTTGATGCATGGGTGTTTCGGGAGGCATACTCGCCTGTCTAGAGTGAGGGGGGACCCCTTTTATCGCTCTTCCTTTCGTCGCTGAACACTCGTAACACTGACGGTTCTTGAGGTGGCGTACAATATCAGTTTAGTCGGAGGAATTGCTTTGAATAGCGCAAAGAATTTTCACTTGTGAAGTGGGGTGTTAACTCTTAAATTGAATAAAATCTCAAGTCGAGTTTATTTATAATTAAATTTATTTAAATGTAAATTTGTCTGCTTAATCTTCAGTTCAGTTAATTGTTTGGCTAGAAGTTTTTATCGTATATAAATTTAACAAGCGTGATGCATCAAATGAACAATCTAAATGGGCTGTGTTCAAATGTCAGTTTGCAGATGCACCTTAATTGACTGTGCCATGACATGGTAAAAGAATTGCAACTGGGAGGTCTACTGACCTCATGGATTTGTTTATCTAAATTTAAAAAAAGTTAAAGATAATTTCATAAATGAAAGTAAAGTTACAGAATACAAATTAACTGGTACCTGTACTTGATCTTTTAATAATATAACTGAAGTTTAAATAGGCTTTTTCTTTCAGAACATGGATTGGAAAGTCCTAAACTACATTCCTGGAGTTTGAAGGTGTCGATTGACATTCAGAATCAGGTGTGTGGTAGTATTTTAAACAGATTTGCATTATATTAAATAGTAAAGTTAAAATCTATCATTATGGCTAAAGATAATCTGAATGATTGCATATAATGTAAAGAAAAAATTGCCATAGTCTGAAGTATCTTTCTCAAGTTTAATGTACTCAAACTTAGATAATGGCTACTCAAACTAATTTTTGTTGCTTGATTAGCATTAGTGAGAAGCTGACAATATTAACATTTTGGTAGATTTGAAAGGAACATTATCTATTGTGAATTTGTGTAAACTTGCAAAAGTAAAATAAGCCCAATACAGAATTTATAAGCTAATTTGGTTAAATGTTTCTAATGCTTTTATAGATTACAATGGTATCAAAGCATTGACTGACTTGAAGTGTGGCTGTTCTACTCTGCACATCTATGAAGCTGGTATGTTGAATTAGTTTTAGCTATATCAATTGCCGTAGCAATATGGGGGATCCTAACTATAAATTTGTTTGAAAATAAAATTTCGGTAGCATGCCTTTAATTTTTACTTAAAAGGGCTTTATTCTAGAATTTATAAATGAAAGATGGTGGGGGAAGTAGCTAATTTATTAGTGTAGTTTTAAAAAGGCAAATATTGAAGTTTAAAGATAATTCTTTTCTTTGCACAGCAATTTTTTAACCATATTTAATGTTTCATTGACAGGTTGTGGAGGGTCCTTCCAACATAATTTCAGGGATGGTGTACAGAACAATTGGTGAAAGTTATGCTACAGAAAATAGTTGTGTGTGAGAATTAGTTGGCAAAAGTAAGTTTACTGATATAATTAGTTTAATTAGTGTTTAAATATTTAGGTAAAAAATTGTGATTGTGAAGGGGCCTTGACATGGGAAAATAAACTAGTTCTAGGCCTTGACAAATGGGGTACAATATCAGTTTAGTCCTTGCAGGAATTGCTTTGAATAGCATAAAGAAAATTTAAAATGTAAAGTGTTAATTCTTAAATGGAATAAAATCCGAAGGTATATAAATATTTAAAATGTAATTGGTTTGCTTAATGTGTTTGGTTAGTTTGGTTTTTAATTATTTGGCTAAAAGTCTGCAATCTATAAATTGCACAGATATCTCAAATGAAAAAATCTAAAAGGGCTGTGATGGTTGAAATGTGTGAAGATTGCACATGTACCATGACAAGGTAAAAGAAAGACTGGGAGGCCTACTGACCTCATGGCTCTAGCATTCCTGGTTTGGTGCCTTTTGATAATTATTTGCTCATGGCTCCTGCAGTTGGATATAGGTTTGAATCCTCATGGATTTGTTCATCAAAATGTTTAACTTAAAAGGATATGTTCATAACTGCAAGTAAAAAATTAACTGGTAACTGTGTCATGTTTTTAATATAATTGAAGTTTAAATAGACTTTTTCTTTCAGAATATGGATTGGGAAGTGCAGAACTACATCCTGGAGTTTGAAAGTGTTGAATGCTTGACATTCAGAATAAGGTGTGGTAAACATTATTTTAAACAGTAAAGTTAAACAATCTAGCATTATAGGTAAAGATAATTTGAAATGGTTGCATGTAGATAATGTAAATTAAAAATTGCCATTAAAGTCTAAAGTATTGTTCTCCACTGATGTATTTTGGCTACTCAAACTAAGTTTAATGTCTGTTTTTTGCTTGATAAGCATTAGTGACAAAATCCACTAAAATGTTAATATTGTAAGATTAAATGAACATTATCCATTGTGAATTTTCAAAGAGACTAAAGTAAAATTAGCCCAATACAGAATTTATAAGGTAATTTGGTTAAATGTGTTTCAGGTGCTAATGAAGATTACAATGGTACCAAAGCAGTGAGGCTATTCTACTCTACAAATCCAATAAGCTGGTATGTTGAATTACATGTTTTAGCTATATCAAATAATTAATTCACTTTCTTTTTCATCTAGTCCATTTATAGATGTGTACCAAAGTCCTACTGTTACCACCTGCAGGGATTGATGCAGTTTGTACTGATCCTACCCCATTTCATAGAAGGGGACCAGGCAGTCCTGCAGATTTCCCTGGCTTGGCTTTTTCAGAGCCTGGCTCTACTACCCATCCAATAGATGGACTAGAATTGCATAGGTGTAGGGACCCTTAACAATGTGCAAACATTGTTAATAACTACAGGGCTTGTTCACTGAAAGAGTGGATACATCCAGAGGTTTAGTGCCTGGAACATGATGTACATAGGCTTAGCCTATGTACATCATGTTGAGGGCACTAAACCAAAAGATGTGATGCACTCTTTCAGCCAACAAGTCCTGCCTCAAAATACAAGTAAGGGGTAGGCCTGGCTGAGCCAAATCTTAAAAGATTGGGACTTAGGGGTTTTGGTGCTTATAGATAGGTGTTTGTTAATAAAATGTGTCCCTGTTTGATATACTTTATTTTTCTTTTACAGGTGGATGATGTCCTTGGTACTCTGGAGTTTTCCTGGGCCTTGATGATCTTTTGGAGTCTTCAGTGGATTGCATCTAGGAGGAGCAGCTTCCCACAACCTGAAATGGACAATAGTCAATATTAGATGTTACACTGTATACTATGCAATAAATATTCTAATGAAACTACTTTATACTGTACTTTATCCTGAAATTATCAATGATTCTATCATGCTGGAAATTACTGATTATTCCTGATGCAAAGTCTAACATCTGAAGAACTTCTGAAATTTAAATAACTTACTAAAGTGAAAATTATTGGCTAATTGGTAGGTGTTAGTATATTGAACAGGGACACTCATTATTTTTCTTTTACAGGTGGATGATGTCTTTGGTACTCTGGACATTTTCTTTGCCTTTGAAGTCTAATTTTGTTTCAGGTAGTTATATTGTATACTATTTAATAAAACTATATGTACTTTATCCTGAAAGTAGCTATAATTCAACTATGCTTGAAATTTATTACCAATGCAGTCTTCCTAACAATGACATCTAAAGAAAACTGATATAATGCATTAATTTAAACCTGCATGTATAAGAGTTATAAGTTTTCATAAAGCTAATGTAGTTTATGAGAACTTAAACTTCATAAAGCTATTATAAACTTACACATGAGCATCTTAAGCATACAAAAATGAAATCATTTTGACCACTTTTTAAAACTTTGCATTCCAAACTGAATTAACCTGATAACAAAATTTAAAATAATTTATAATATAACTACCAAATTTCACTTCTAAAACAAATGTATGGGCTAAACTTCCACTTATCAATGATGTTGCATAGCTTATGTAAAAATTTAAGTCAATGGCAAGATTGAAAAAAAACTAAATTTAGTTTAATGTGCCTTACTAAATGTCACACCTTAGCCCATTATAGTAATCACATTGATTATGTATTAAAACTCTACAGGAAACTACTACTTTCATACTTGCTAACAATATTGTCTAATGCTGGACAATATCAAATGAGACCAAACACTACAATTTTCTACTAGTCTAAGAAAAGAAAAAACTTTAGAAATGTTCAATCTGTGTTAATATTTGCTGCACTATGAAATGTCTACCAAACATTTGGAATCAACACTAAATTCACACGTCAGACAATCCATTACCACAAATGTTTCAAGCTGCTGAATATAACTATTTAAAGATAGTGTATACATACACTGCCTGTAACAAGCACCATAAATGGGAAGAGCTTTTCAAACTAAAATTATAAAAACTTCAGATACCTAGAATTCAATCTAAGCTCTTAAATGAACTTTCCATTCAAACTTATTGCCACTTAAACTCACTATATAGGTTCAAAGCTATTCTCAACTTTATCTGGATTTCAAATGTCACTTAAATTTTTTAAACTGCCAAGCAGAAAAATTCTGATTACTTTAACCTCACATCTGCAAGGTCCTGAAGGGGAGATTCATTCAGTCTTGTAAAATCAACAAAACGGTTTGTTAAAAAATGAACTTTTTTTTAAAGATAACCAGCTATTCGCACAAGACTATTGGTACACAAGTACTTTGTTTGCTAAAGCAACATATGAAACACTAGGAATAAAATACCAGGCACATAGAATAAATGGTAGAAAGGATAAAAACAAAGGCTTAATTAAACCAAAGAAATTAAAGGTTCCTCCGAAACAGATTTGACTGGAGGCATACCACAAGGGTCTATACCTTATATACATCAATAACAAATCAAAATATTAAAAACCACATCAAATTTGCAGATGACGCCAAGATTTATGGTATAAAGAACATGAAACTATTATATCGAGTCTTTACAAAGATCTACACGAACTCTAAAAATGGTTCAAAGACTGGCAAATTCTTCTTAATATACGTTTAACATTGCAAAACCTTAGAGGTGAGCCAGAACAATCCATATCACAACTACCACATTAACATTAAAATGAAGCAGAACAATGAAATAAAGGACCTTTGAGCAAGAATCCATCATTAACCAAAAGTTGCTGCACTAACATCACAATCACTAACAAAACTTTTGAAATAATTTAGCGACATTTTGACTTTAAGGAAAAGAAGGTAGTTATTCTACTGTTAAAACACTTATACACCAGATATCTATTATCACTTAGATAACTGTATCCAAGCATGGACACCCCCACTCTCTTTAGAAAAACACATCTACTTTCAAACAACTTCAACACTGGCCAACAAAAATATTTCTAAAACTAAGTCGACTAATACCAGGAACAACTGAGGGCCACGACAAACACTGCAGCCCTCTCCTACCCCAAGTCTTATGCTATTAATGATCCAAGAAATTTTGATATACTTCCTACAGACGAGTCCCGTGACAGGACGATCTGGCGAGTAAACTGAAGCACGATACAGGTGTCAACGGACATCAGTCAGCCCACTTGTCACCACAGTAGATAAACTAATAACATTATAACCCGCAATTTTCTACCACTCCCTGTGGCCATTTAAATCAATAAAACCCAGGGTTGTGGCAATGTTATACAGCATAAGGTAAGGTATACAGGAATGCCTGGTAATGTCTAGTCCTTGTATGTCCATTAGGCGACTAAACTGAATAATAACATTTCTGGTGTTAGACTATTTAAGCCGAGTTTCTCAATCGGTACAAACTTTTAAAACCAAATAGGAATGCGCTTTAAACGTCCATTTATTTGGAGATTCTGCTTACCAGAATACAAATTACCGAGCTATGAAAGTACTACGAGGCAAGTTTAACTGGATGAGTGTTTGCCTATCCACTCCCCCATGAGGTATGTGATAACAATAAATAAAGAAACGGTCTTTGTGCATTCAGCGTGCAAAACTCTGACATGACATGACCAATATAGCCAGGTCATACCTACCCCTCCTACATACCCCCTAACTCCCTTCTACTCCCTCACTCCTGCCTTCCCTCCTACCCCTTCATTCAATATCTCAAACATCCCAATTTCGAGGCCTGAGCGATATTTTTGAGCCAAATTCTGGCTCTCTGCACGTATTCGCAGTTTGAAATTACGACTTTTTTACCGAACACATGCCAATTACTGAAAGCGGCGGTGGGTCATATTTTGCCCAAACCCCCCTGCAGTTTTCAAAATATCTCAAACATCCCAATTTCGAGGCCTGAGCCATATTTTGAGCCAAATTCTGGCTCTCTGCACGTATTCGCAGTTTGAAATTACGACTTTTTTTTACCGAACACATGCCAATTACTGAAAGCGGCGGTGGGTCATATTTGCCCAAACCCCCCTGCAGTTTTCAAAATATCTCAAACATCCCAATTTCGAGGCCTGAGCCATATTTTTGAGCCAAATTCTGGCTCTCTGCACGTATTCGCAGTTTGAAATTACGAAATTTTTTACCGAACACATGCCAATTACTGAAAGCGGCGGTGGGTCATATTTTGCCCAAACCCCCCTGCAGTTTTCAAAATATCTCAAACATCCCAATTTCGAGGCCTGAGCCATATTTTTGAGCCAAATTCTGGCTCTCTGCACGTATTCGCAGTTTGAAATTACGAAATTTTTTACCGAAACATGCCAATTACTGAAAGCGGCGGTGGGTCATATTTTGCCCAAACCCCCCTGCAGTTTTCAAAATATCTCAAACATCCCAATTTCGAGGCCTGAGCCATATTTTTGAGCCAAATTCTGGCTCTCTGCACGTATTCGCAGTTTGAAATTACGAAATTTTTTACCGAACACATGCCAATTACTGAAAGCGGCGGTGGGTCATATTTTGCCCAAACCCCCCTGCAGTTTTCAAAATATCTCAAACATCCCAATTTCGAGGCCTGAGCGATATTTTTGAGCCAAATTCTGGCTCTCTGCACGTATTCGCAGTTTGAAATTACGAAATTTTTTACCGAACACATGCCAATTACTGAAAGCGGCGGTGGGTCATATTTTGCCCAAACCCCCCTGCAGTTTTCAAAATATCTCAAACATCCCAATTTCGAGGCCTGAGCCATATTTTTGAGCCAAATTCTGGCTCTCTGCACGTATTCGCAGTTTGAAATTACGAAATTTTTTACCGAACACATACCAATTACTGAAAGCGGCGGTGGGTCATATTTTGCCCAAACCCCCCTGCAGTTTTCAAAATATCTCAAACATCCCAATTTCGAGGCCTGAGCGATATTTTTGAGCCAAATTCTGGCTCTCTGCACGTATTCGCAGTTTGAAATTAAGAATTTTTTTACCGAACACACGCCAATTACTGAAAGCGGCGGTGGGTCATATTTTGCCCAAACCCCCCTGCAGTTTTCAAAATATCTCAAATATCCCAATTTCGAGGCCTGAGCCATATTTTTGAGCCAAATTCTGGCTCTCTGCACGTATTCGCAGTTTGAAATTACGAAATTTTTTACCGAACACATGCCAATTACTGAAAGCGGCGGTGGGTCATATTTTGCCCAAACCCCCCTGCAGTTTTCAAAATATCTCAAACATCCCAATTTCGAGGCCTGAGCCATATTTTTGAGCCAAATTCTGGCTCTCTGCACGTATTCGCAGTTTGAAATTACGACTTTTTTTACCGAACACATGCCAATTACTGAAAGCGGCGGTGGGTCATATTTTGCCCAAACCCCCCTGCAGTTTTCAAAATATCTCAAACATCCCAATTTCGAGGCCTGAGCCATATTTTTGAGCCAAATTCTGGCTCTCTGCACGTATTCGCAGTTTGAAATTACGAAATTTTTTACCGAACACATGCCAATTACTGAAAGCGGCGGTGGGTCATATTTTGCCCAAACCCCCCTGCAGTTTTCAAAATATCTCAAACATCCCAATTTCGAGGCCTGAGCGATATTTTTGAGCCAAATTCTGGCTCTCTGCACGTATTCGCAGTTTGAAATTACGAAATTTTTTACCGAACACATGCCAATTACTGAAAGCGGCGGTGGGTCATATTTTGCCCAAACCCCCCTGCAGTTTTCAAAATATCTCAAACATCCCAATTTCGAGGCCTGAGCCATATTTTTGAGCCAAATTCTGGCTCTCTGCACGTATTCGCAGTTTGAAATTACGAAATTTTTTACCGAACACATGCCAATTACTGAAAGCGGCGGTGGGTCATCATATTTTGCCCAAACCCCCCTGCAGTTTTCAAAATATCTCAAACATCCCAATTTCGAGGCCTGAGCCATATTTTTGAGCCAAATTCTGGCTCTCTGCACGTATTCGCAGTTTGAAATTACGACTTTTTTTACCGAACACATGCCAATTACTGAAAGCGGCGGTGGGTCATATTTTGCCCAAACCCCCCTGCAGTTTTCAAAATATCTCAAACATCCCAATTTCGAGGCCTGAGCCATATTTTTGAGCCAAATTCTGGCTCTCTGCACGTATTCGCAGTTTGAAATTACGAACTTTTTTTACCGAACACATGCCAATTACTGAAAGCGGCGGTGGGTCATATTTTGCCCAAACCCCCCTGCAGTTTTCAAAATATCTCAAACATCCCAATTTCGAGGCCTGAGCGATATTTTTGAGCCAAATTCTGGCTCTCTGCACGTATTCGCAGTTTGAAATTACGAAATTTTTTACCGAACACATGCCAATTACTGAAAGCGGCGGTGGGTCATATTTTGCCCAAACCCCCCTGCAGTTTTCAAAATATCTCAAACATCCCAATTTCGAGGCCTGAGCCATATTTTGAGCCAAATTCTGGCTCTCTGCACGTATTCGCAGTTTGAAATTACGAAATTTTTTTACCGAACACATGCCAATTACTGAAAGCGGCGGTGGGTCATATTTTGCCCAAACCCCCCTGCAGTTTTCAAAATATCTCAAACATCCCAATTTCGAGGCCTGAGCCATATTTTTGAGCCAAATTCTGGCTCTCTGCACGTATTCGCAGTTTGAAATTACGAAATTTTTTACCGAACACATGCCAATTACTGAAAGCGGCGGTGGGTCATATTTTGCCCAAACCCCCCTGCAGTTTTCAAAATATCTCAAACATCCCAATTTCGAGGCCTGAGCCATATTTTTGAGCCAAATTCTGGCTCTCTGCACGTATTCGCAGTTTGAAATTACGAAATTTTTTACCGAACACATGCCAATTACTGAAAGCGGCGGTGGGTCATATTTTGCCCAAACCCCCCTGCAGTTTTCAAAATATCTCAAACATCCCAATTTCGAGGCCTGAGCCATATTTTTGAGCCAAATTCTGGCTCTCTGCACGTATTCGCAGTTTGAAATTACGACTTTTTTTACCGAACACATGCCAATTACTGAAAGCGGCGGTGGGTCATATTTTGCCCAAACCCCCCTGCAGTTTTCAAAATATCTCAAACATCCCAATTTCGAGGCCTGAGCCATATTTTGAGCCAAATTCTGGCTCTCTGCACGTATTCGCAGTTTGAAATTACTAAATTTTTTACCAAACACATGCCAATTACTGAAAGCGGCGGTGGGTCATATTTTGCCCAAACCCCCCTGCAGTTTTCAAAATATCTCAAACATCCCAATTTCGAGGCCTGAGCCACATTTTTGAGCCAAATTCTGGCTCTTTGCACGTATTCGCAGTTTGAAATTACGAAATTTTTTACCGAACACATACCAATTACTGAAAGCGGCGGTGGGTCATATTTTGCCCAAACCCCCCTGCAGTTTTCAAAATATCTCAAACATCCCAATTTCGAGGCCTGAGCGATATTTTTGAGCCAAATTCTGGCTCTCTGCACGTATTCGCAGTTTGAAATTACGAAATTTTTTACCGAACACATGCCAATTACTGAAAGCGGCGGTGGGTCATATTTTGCCCAAACCCCCCTGCAGTTTTCAAAATATCTCAAACATCCCAATTTCGAGGCCTGAGCCACATTTTCGAGCCAAATTCTGGCTCTCTGCACGTATTCGCAGTTTGAAATTACGAATTTTTTTACCGAACACATGCCAATTACTGAAAGCGGCGGTGGGTCATATTTTGCCCAAACCCCCCTGCAGTTTTCAAAATATCTCAAACATCCCAATTTCGAGGCCTGAGCCATATTTTTGAGCCAAATTCTGGCTCTCTGCACGTATTCGCAGTTTGAAATTACGAAATTTTTTTACCGAACACATGCCAATTACTGAAAGCGGCGGTGGGTCATATTTTGCCCAAACCCCCCTGCAGTTTTCAAAATATCTCAAACATCCCAATTTCGAGGCCTGGTCGATATTTTTGAGCCAAATTCTGGCTCTCTGCCCGTATTCGCAGTTTGAAATTACGAATTTTTTACCGAACACATGCCAATTACTGAAAGCGGCGGTGGGTCATATTTTGCCCAAACCCCCCTGCAGTTTTCAAAATATCTCAAACATCCCAATTTCGAGGCCTGAGCCACATTTTGGAGCCAAATTCTGGCTCTCTGCACGTATTCGCAGTTTGAAATTACTAAATTTTTTACCAAACACATGCCAATTACTGAAAGCGGCGGTGGGTCATATTTTGCCCAAACCCCCCTGCAGTTTTCAAAATATCTCAAACATCCCAATTTCGAGGCCTGAGCCACATTTTTGAGCCAAATTCTGGCTCTTTGCACGTATTCGCAGTTTGAAATTACGAAATTTTTTACCGAACACATGCCAATTACTGAAAGCGGCGGTGGGTCATATTTTGCCCAAACCCCCCTGCAGTTTTCAAAATATCTCAAACATCCCAATTTCGAGGCCTGAGCGATATTTTTGAGCCAAATTCTGGCTCTCTGCACGTATTCGCAGTTTGAAATTACGAAATTTTTTACCGAACACATGCCAATTACTGAAAGCGGCGGTGGGTCATATTTTGCCCAAACCCCCCTGCAGTTTTCAAAATATCTCAAACATCCCAATTTCGAGGCCTGAGCCATATTTTTGAGCCAAATTCTGGCTCTCTGCACGTATTCGCAGTTTGAAATTACGAATTTTTTTACCGAACACATGC